TAGATGTATGAGGGCAGTTATCACTTCCTGGTTGCCCACACCATGGAAGGGTTCTTCTGGAGGTACCTGAAAAGAAAACTGGATTAGAGGTGGTCTTAGTGACCTGAGAGCGTTCATTGATGATTATTAGGTTTAAGAAAGAATTGTTAGGTGCAAGAAAAGTTGTTAAGATGCTTACCGAAGTTACATATTTCGTGGTAACTAGAATATGTTTTGGTCTATGTCTGATCTTATAGGCTGTAGCTTAAATAAGCCGCAAAGCTGGAGAGACAAGGAATTTCTAAAAGACAAAAAACTATTAATCTATGAGGTAAACTTGTATGTTAAAATTGATAAAGCTGCCAATCAAAACCCCGACTATAATATTTTTCACAGCACATGTCATTCCATCTACAGCCTAGCATTTGACACAAAATTACATAGCACCTCACTAAAATCTGAGAACCATGTAGTAAATAGTTAATTTGCAAAATATCAATCCGTCCCCCCAAACTTGACTGTTCCTTTGCAAATATTGTCTCAGATTTCACTGTTCATGCATTTTCATACCAACTGCGTTCCGTTTCCGTTCTTTCCTCATCGATCTACTCAAATACACTCTATGCTTGACCATCGTTATATACTACTTATGTGGATATAAGTAGCTCACACCATAAGTATACATTAGGTGTGTATATAATAATAAACGATAAATTAGTTTTGCGACTTACCATCTCTTTAGTCTTCCGACATATCATAAATTGTAGGTCAGTTCATCTGCTTAGAGATGACTTCCTAAAGTATCAATGATTTGTTCTCGGAGTGTGTACAAGTCAGGAGTTAAACAGTTGGTACCAGTGGTATTGGATTTATCGTCTTACTGTATCACGAGAATTAAAGTTGCAACCTTATACAACAGAACAAAACTAATGTAATCTCAATAATTTAGCACTTGTCACGAGAACTAAGGGGTTGTGGGTACGCACTACTATGGATTTCCATCAGTCAGTCAGTCAGTAACAACGTAGAACTTCGTACGTACGTACATCAGTTCGAGTTGCCACACCACATTAGCACAGAGATGCAGTTGTCGATTCAAATCCCGTAGTGGTAGAGGTAGTAAGAGTATAAGCAGTAATCGGGAAGATTAGGGTTTGGAGATGTTATTTAAAGAGTATAATCCAGTGAAATAAATTTGGAAAGAGGAAAAAAGGGACATGAAGAATTCAGAAGATTAGAATTTGGGAGAACACAGAGAGTGGATGCACCTGCGCCATTGCAAACGATTTTGAGCCATGTCATTCAGGGTCTCTAACCATCGGTTGCTATCATCTCGCGGTCCCCAACCAGGTAGTCTACACCTACCAACATGACTCAGTCCACTTGTCAGTGACTTCATGGACTTGTGCCATGTTTTGGTTTGGCCGCCCCTAGCTTTCTTCCAACCTACTCCTATACCACTGAACATAGCACGTCGAGGCAGTCGGTCGTTGGGCATACGTAACACGTGTCCCAGCCATCTCAACTGATGAAGTTTCACTACTTCATCAATTGATTTGCCATCCTTACCTAGTACCCGTTTCCTAACAACTGTGTTACTTACTCGATGGTCCCATGATATACGAGCAATGTTTCGAAGACACCTATGATCAAATACTAGTAACCTACGGATATCCTCTACTCTTACCGGCCATGTTTCACTGCCATAAAGTAGGACGGAACGAACTGCTGCGCAGTAAACACGTCCTTTGGTTGATAGACGGATATCTCGCCTACGCCATAAATGACGCAAGTTGGCAAAAGCTAGTCGAGCCTTCTGTATCCGTGCTGAGATTTCGTCACACACTAAACCACAAGGGCTGATGAGACTTCCAAGATAAGTGAAGCGGTCGACACACTCAACTACTTCACTCCCTATCACTAGTTCGGGTGTCGATGTAACCCAATCCTGAAGCAACATTTTGCATTTCGAGGGAGAGAATCGCATCCCGAACATGCTTGCATTGTTGCTTAGAGTGGTCAGAAGACTCTGCATTTTGTCAGCGTCTTCACCAAATAAAACTATGTCATCAGCATATTCTAAGTCAACAAGTGAACCTCCCGGTAGAAGTTCAACCCCTGGAAATTTAGATGAGGAGAGTGTTATCTCTAAAAGTACGTCGACGACAAAGTTGAACAAGAATGGGGAGAGTGGACAGCCCTGACGAACACCACTTGAGGTAATCAATTCTGATGACAGTTCGCCATAAGCTCTCACTCTACCAGTTGTGTTCGAGTAGAGAGCCTTTATAAGGTTAATGTACTTCTTTGGTACTCCTTTCAGTGACAAACACTGCCATAGAACCTCACGATCAATCGAGTCGAATGCCGCCTTAAGGTCGAGAAATACTACCATTGTGGGGCGTCTGAATGTGTGTCTGTGTTCTAGAACCTGACGTAGTGTGAATATCTGATCTATACAACCACGTCCAGGTCGAAAACCGGCCTGGTTTTCTCTAGTCTGCTCTTCACGAGCTTTGGTTAGGCGTCGAAGTATTATTGAAGCTAATATTTTAGACACTATATTAGTCAAACTGATTCCTCTGTGATTGTCACAAGAGGACTTTTGTCCTTTCTTATAGACTGGCACAATCAGTGATTGAGACCAGTCAGATGGGATTACGTCCAGTTCCCAAATTCTACCTAAGACCTCAGTTAATCTCATTGCTAATACTGGACCACCATCCTTAAAAATCTCAGGAGTAAACCTGTCAGGGCCTGCTGCTCTCCCTCGTTTCAGATTTCCTATGGCTTTTTCAACTTCGTAAAGGGACGGAGGACCTACATTAACTTGCCATTCAGGTTGACTGGAGATCGTGGGAAACCGAAGTGTGGCTGAAGGCCAGTTGAACTGATCCCTAAAGTGTTCTGCCCATCGATCCAATCTCCTGGATTGAGAATGAATAATATGTCCATCTTTCTCTGAGATTGTTTCGCTAACGGTCGGGTTCCTAATTCCGGTTTCCTTAACGAGTCTGAACAATTGTCTGCTATTACCTATTGCCGCTGCCTTTTCCATCTCTCTTGCTTTCGCTACCCACCACTGTTCGCGATCATTGCGTAGACTTCTTGTCAGCTTGCGCTTAAGCTGACTCCGCTCTTCATTATGTTCAGAGCCAGGTGGAATGAGTTTCCGAGCATCTATCAGTGCGATAGATGCTGCTGAGATCCAGTGTTGCTCCCTAACCTTCTGGTTTACCTTACTAGCAGATATCACTGCTGTTTCCACAGCTTTTCGGATATCATTCCATGCTGCATCGGGGTGGGCATCACATACATGGCTGCCTAACTGTTTTCCTAGTTGTTCCTGAAATATACTCTTAGCTTGACTATCATTAAGTAGGCCCTAAGAGGTTTCCTTGCAGCGTCTTTCCTACGTCCAGTAAGACGCAAGCAAATACGCGCTCGCACTAGAGCATGATCTGAATCTAGGCATGTGCTCCAGAATGAGCGACAGTCTTCTATCGAGCCCCTCCATCGGTGGCTGATAGCGATGTGATCTATTTGGGTCCAACGTTGGGACGAATTAGGGGGTCGCCATGTTAAAAGATGTTTTTCCTTATGCTTAAAGTTAGTATTTGCAAGGAACAGGCGGTTATCTGAGCATAGCTGCAACAGACGGTCGCCATTATCTGTTCTTTGAGCCACGACACCATAAGATCCACCTAGGTGTCTTTCCTTATCGCTTAGTTTACCTACTTGAGCATTAAAGTCACCGGCCACTATTACTACATCCGAGCGCCTAGCTTTTCGGAGAAGGTCCGAAAGCTTTCTGTAAAACTCATCTTTTACATCATCTGAGCTGCAGTCAGTGGGAGAATAGGCAGAGACGACGAAGAGGCAACGACGAGTGTCCCTATCTTTCCGGATTCTTACTGTTCCGTTCAGTCGGACAGCGCACAAACGACTGTCTACTGGGATCCACTCTAAGAGAGCTAGTTCTGCCCTAGGACTCAATGCTATACCTACGCCGGCGAGGCCACGGGAAGCAGAATCAGGGCTTCCAGATACACGAAGCGTAAATCGAGTCGGTTCTTTATTTTGGCATGGTGAGGTCAAATGAATGACGCTACTTGGATCCTGTATGCGCGTTTCGGAGACGCAGCACACATCGATGGCGCGAGATTCTAAAGTTTTAGCTAAGGAAGCCTGCTGTCCTATTTGGCAAAGTGTTCGTACGTTAAAAGCTCCTACGTGTAGTTTAGAGCGTGGTTTCAGGAGACCAGGAATGGCGTTCCACGTACTCGAATCGTTTGCCCTAGCGGTGCGAGGTGATAAAGAGACGTGAGGAGGGTTAGTCGGGAGGATAAGAGAGGTATTAGGAGGTGTAGGAAGGATTTGAATGTGACCACCTTGGTCTCTTGTGCTGTTACGGGTATGAGGGCTGATGTCACTTCCCGGCTGCCCACACCGTGGAAGGGTATTTCTTGAGGAACCTGAAAAGGAAATTGGATTAGTGTTGGTCTTGACGACCTGGGAGCGTGACCGCAGAGCCCAAGGGACAACTGCTTGAGGCCGGTCGCGCACGGCCTTTTTGTGGAAGGTTTTTGACGTGTTAGCTCCGTTCTTCAAAGGGCCTTACCGCCGGAGACGGAAATCCGTGAGGTAAGGTGAGGTGTGACATTTTTAGGGTCGACCTTTTCTAACCCCACCCCTCCTTGTGGGAAGGCAGCATCGCTGTCATGCTGGTTGTCCGAGGGAAACACCTTACTGCTGTCACACCTCTCTACAGTCAGCAGTACGACTTCGCCCTCAGACCTTGAGTTGCTGCTTTTAGTCTTACCGTTCACCAATCGACCTGCCTGGCATGGTAGAACCTGCAGGAACATATGTTCCAGCCAATATAGCTCGGTTGGGTCATCACGATAGGCAAGCCCGATCACCGCGTCAAGGTAGCAGCTTCGATCGGGATGGATTTCCATACTGTAACAAAGCACCTGTCTGGTGTTCCTCGAAACTAATATCTGAGAAATTAAGACATTCACGAAACTTTACCATACTTTATTCACAACAATGTACATATCAAGCGATCTTTGATTCAATACTTAGTTTGATTTGTAATAATGATTCTTTCCTCTCGAATAGAAAGTAAAGACTACAAACACATACGAAGACAACCTGTCGCAAGCGAATCTATTCAAAACAGAATGTATTCACTATTTCAGAATAATCTGAAAAATGCACTTACACTTGGATTAAATGTTTATGTTGACAAGGCCAATGAAATCTTGATAATTAAACTATCCAGTTCACATGAATTAACACAAGCATACAAAGTAAGTAACTTTAGTAGATGAGTATCAGACAGTAGTGCAAGGAAACTGATCATTTCTTAACTGGGCCACCACTAAAAGCATTACACTTGCTTACTAATATAATTTTAATTTTGTTCAATATATACTACTTATAAGAAGGCTGCCACCCATTGTGAAAAATAGCTTAACACATATTGTCTTCCAGTTATGTAACAACACCTGAAATGATAGATTCAGCTATATGGTATTAACAGAATGAGAAACTAGTTAAATAGGAAAGAGTGTATCAGTTGTTTATGCCGTCTTTAGTAATAATAATAACATTTCCAAAATATGATTAGGTAAAATAGTATGATGACAGCTAGAGAGAGAGAATATTATAAACAAAGAAAAACAATACAAATGGAAACAAACGCACAGAAACACCTAAGACAAGATAGCTATACAAAGAATGATCAAATAGTACAATATATAAATATACTACCAAAAAATAAGATTTGAGAGGAAAATGTAATTACAATATAACATTTAAATACAGGACCGAATGGTAATGAAAAGTCAGTGCTGTAGTTATAGAACACTGTTACAAACTCAAAAGGAATAGAAGTGTTTAGTCAAAAGAAAAGAAATGCAAGAGAAGTAGAAATTCCAGTATCAACATGTGTACATATACGAGTATACCTTTGAGGAGCGACTAGTATTATCAAATATCATTATTATCATAACTGTTAATATATCAGACTAGCGGAGGCACAATGTAAGGAGAAAATCAATAAAAAAAACGAATCAAATGAGAAAGACATTTGTCAATAGATATGTGTGATATAGAACATACCAATAAGGAACGGTGTGAATAAATCAATCTCCTACTTATGTATATTATTATTAGTGGGGTGATGAGAAGTCTATTTTAGGTATGTGAATTAGTAAACTGCTGTTGCAAAGCAGCTATATAACTTTGGGCTTGTAAAGAAGCTACTGCCAACTGTTGCTCTTGTTGTTGACGTAAGACAAGTGCAGCAGCGTTTGCAACATTATTATTCCTTTGTTGTTGGAGCAAGACGGCATTTTGAATCAGGGCTAATGCTTGATTTTGCTGGTGTTTTTGTAAGGCTGCCAGAGTTAAGAAATGCTGTCGTTGTTGATATTGTTGAAGAACAGAAGTTGCATTTAAATTGTCAATAGCTGAATTCAGTGTCAACTCTGGCAGAGTACTACTAGTTATCGATTGTTGTGTAGATGAACGAAGATTTGAAAGCCATTCAGCTGTTAAAGATGATAAAATAGGATTTGATAGAGACTGATTAGCTAAAACACCAAACGGATAGTTTCCTATGATGTTTTGTGTCGGTACTGTGACCGTGATGCCTGAACTCAAATTATGATTATGCTGCTGTGGATGTTGAATATGACGCATTTGACTGATTCCAAGTAATTGTTCAATGAACAGTGGATTAACAGAATTTTGTTGCAAGACGTTCAGTGTGGCTAAATTTGCCTGAGATGGATCGAAACATGAACTAGTAGCGTCTGATAAACTAAAATTTGTAGCATTTACACCAATCTGCTTGGACGGAGATATAACGGACGGAACAACCTCAGTAGTTAGTGATGCTAACGATGTACGTAAGGCGCCAGTTGTAAACGTTTCAGTGGTAAGTTTAGCAACTACTTCGCTATCATTTTGCAACTGACTTGGTTTTATTCGACTGGAAGATATATCATCAGGAAATACGCTAGTAGACGAAGTTGCGAGATTTTCAGCTTCATTCTTACTCAAGTTATTCAAGTTTTGTTTGTGAGTGAATTGATTATTTCCCAAATTACTTGGTCCTTCATGAATTCGATCAATTGATGAAGTATACAGTGCATCAGTACACAAAATATTCAATTCACAATTATTCGATGATACAAATGACTGTGTAGGACATGCACTGATAGTTGTATTGACTGAACAGTTAACGGACTGTCCCTTCGATGTAGATGGCTCTTTTGGCTTACAATCTGAACTAAGTAAATCATCAGATAATTTTGATCGTTTTGCTGGCAGGTCAGAGTTTGGTAAATAATCGGCGTTGAAAGTAATACGACAGTTGGCTGTTAAAAAATATAACATAAATTATCTCTACAGAGGATTTAAAAATATAACAAATAATGTGATAAAAGTAGCTGTAGACCGATGTAAAAACTCTTGATTCAAATTTCTCTCAAAACCTTTTAAATATTTAACTGTTTTTCATGAAAAAGAAAGTTCTTTTTACAGCATATCATTCTCTGATTGAAATAGTTCAGTGAAAAATCACCATTCCGACATCTAGTAAAACAAAAAGAGCGAAGCAGGTTCCTTCATCATGGCTCTACATTTATGTGCTTCTTGGTAAATTTCGTTGGATATACATTCTTACTAAGCAGTTTATGAACATTACTCAATTTATCCTCAATGATGACATCAGATCAAAGCATTCTGAAACTATGAGACAGATTTTTTACTGTTTTTTTCATACGTAACTGATACAGCACTATGGAAATGAGTAAATTATCCGCTTGTGGACTTTCTATGTATTGTTTAACAATAAATAAATTGGAAGGCAACTAACAGACTCATTGAAACTTACTCAGTAGGAATGCATATCCGACAGGATTTATCAAAAACACATGAACGAAATGAAAATATGACACAAGGTAACAACCGTTCCGAAGAGGTTACTGTTCTTGAAATCCCTAAGTGACGCGACCGAGGAAAAGGTTGTGCAGAAAACATTTACGGCAGCCAAGCTGAATGCGTTTTTTACAATCGTCAAATAATGGAAACCATCAATTCGCTATTAACCCAACTGCTCCCGCGGAACCACTTGTACGGTGTGTACAATTCCACAAGTCCATCATAGCATAGCAAAACACCATCCATCTTGGTTGAGCAAGGGACAAGTGAGAATGACTAAGTGCTCTATCTTCGCTCACTTAGTGGACAAAGACATCAAATTGATCTAAATAGTCTTTACGGTTAGCAACCATATTTCATCAAATTTATCGTAAGGTTTACAAGTTCGTCTTGTGGACATTGCTGAAGCTATCGGAACCCATCTTCACAAAATTAATCTTTGCATTCCTAAGAAGTTTGTAATCACCTTCTCTACCTTGAGCATTGATATGAGAATGAGTTTTAGCTGAACTTTGATGAAACTCATTCTTTCAAAAAAAAAATCCTGATTGCTTTCACTTTTGTAGTTTTACATATTTCAGCCTGTTTGTTGAGTCTTACAGGGTTACTATAATATTGACCCTTTACCAAGGTATTTCGTTAATTCTTTGTAAATATTATGTAATCTAGTAACTGTTTAACTGAATTTCTCAAATGGTTACTGATTATTGTAATACTCTTTCTTTCAATTACTCAATATTATTATATAAGCACAGTGAAATTACAAAATTACACCGTTGCACAACTACCCAATCAGTATAATTTCGTTGCTGTAAAACTTATTGTCGAGATTTAACTGTCCTTTTGGCGCCTACTTTATGCAGTAGACACGCCAATGATCGTTAAAGTTTCGCTGACTCCAATTATTAAACTCACAATTTTTATTTTCAGTATGAACTAAATAGACGAAAACCACAAAGATTTGAAAGATTATAGTGGCTCAACAATCAAATTTATCGACTTTAAAACTTCATGTCGAGTACTGGCTGCTTTTATACCGAACATTATTTTCTTGCGATGTGATTAGGTGGAAAACATGACAAGTTAACAAGGCTATAACATGATGCAATGAAATGAATGATATTTATTGTCGATGAGCAATTATCGCTTTATCAACACTCCCTGTATAGATTTAAAACGTCATGGTCAGTCAGTAACAACGTAGAACTTCGTACATATGTACATCAGTTCGAGTTGCCACACCACATTAGCACAGAGATGCAGTTGTCGATTCAAATCCCGTAGTGGTAGAGGTAGCAAGAGTATAAGCAGTAATCGGGAAGATTAGGGTTTGGAGATGTTATTTAAAGAGTATAATCCAGTGAAATAAATTTGGAAAGAAAAAAAGGGACATGAAGGATTCAGAAGATTAGAATTTGGGAGAACACAGAGAGTGGATGCACCTGCGCCATTGCAAACGATTTTGAGCCATGTCATTCAGGGTCTCTAACCATCGGTTGCTATCATCTCGCGGTCCCCAACCAGGTAGTCTACACCTACCAACATGACTCAGTCACTTGTCAGTGACTTCATGGACTTGTGCCATGTTTTGGTTTGGCCGCCCCTAGCTTTCTTCCAACCTACTCCTATACCACTGAACATAGCACGTCGAGGCAGTCGGTCGTTGGGCATACGTAACACGTGTCCCAGCCATCTCAACTGATGAAGTTTCACTACTTCATCAATTGATTTGCCATCCTTACCTAGTACCCGTTTCCTAACAACTGCATTACTTACTCGATGGTCCCATGATATACGAGCAATATTTCGAAGACACCTATGATCAAATACTAGTAACCTACGGATATCCTCTACTCTTACCGGCCATGTTTCACTGCCATAAAGTAGGACGGAACGAACTGCTGCGCAGTAAACACGTCCTTTGGTTGATAGACGGATATCTCGCCTACGCCATAAATGACGCAAGTTGGCAAAAGCTAGTCGAGCCTTCTGTATCCGTGCTGAGATTTCGTCACACACTAAACCACAAGGGCTGATGAGACTTCCAAGATAAGTGAAGCGGTCGACACACTCAACTACTTCACTCCCTATCACTAGTTCGGGTGTCGATGTAACCCAATCCTGAAGCAACATTTTGCATTTCGAGGGAGAGAATCGCATCCCGAACATGCTTGCATTGTTGCTTAGAGTGGTCAGAAGACTCTGCATTTTGTCAGCGTCTTCACCAAATAAAACTATGTCATCAGCATATTCTAAGTCAACAAGTGAACCTCCCGGTAGAAGTTCAACCCCTGGAAATTTAGATGAGGAGAGTGTTATCTCTAAAAGTACGTCGACAAAGTTGAACAAGAATGGGGAGAGTGGACAGCCCTGACGAACACCACTTGAGGTAATCAATTCTGATGACAGTTCGCCATAAGCTCTCACTCTACCAGTTGTGTTCGAGTAGAGAGCCTTTATAAGGTTAATGTACTTCTTTGGTACTCCTTTCAGTGACAAACACTGCCATAGAACCTCACGATCAACAGAGTCGAATGCCGCCTTAAGGTCGAGAAATACTACCATTGTGGGGCGTCTGAATGTGTGTCTGTGTTCTAGAACCTGACGTAGTGTGAATATCTGATCTATACAACCACGTCCAGGTCGAAAACCGGCCTGGTTTTCTCTAATCTGCTCTTCACGAGCTTTGATTAGGCGTCGAAGTATTATTGAAGCTAATATTTTAGACACTATATTAGTCAAACTGATTCCTCTGTGATTGTCACAAGAGGACTTTTGTCCTTTCTTATAGACTGGCACAATCAGTGATTGAGACCAGTCAGATGGGATTACGTCCAGTTCCCAAATTCTACCTAAGACCTCAGTTAATCTCATTGCTAATACTGGACCACCATCCTTAAAAATCTCAGGAGTAAACCTGTCAGGGCCTGCTGCTCTCCCTCGTTTCAGATTTCCTATGGCTTTTTCAACTTCGTAAAGGGACGGAGGACCTACATTAACTTGCCATTCAGGTTGACTAGAGATCGTGGGAAACCGAAGTGTGGCTGAAGGCCAGTTGAACTGATCCCTAAAGTGTTCTGCCCATCGATCCAATCTCCTGGATTGAGAATGAATAATATGTCCATCTTTCTCTGAGATTGTTTCGCTAACGGTCGGGTTCCTAATTCCGGTTTCCTTAACGAGTCTGAACAATTGTCTGCTATTACCTATTGCCGCTGCCTTTTCCATCTCTCTTGCTTTCGCTACCCACCACTGTTCGCGATCATTGCGTAGACTTCTTGTCAGCTTGCGCTTAAGCTGACTCCGCTCTTCATTATGTTCAGAGCCAGGTGGAATGAGTTTCCGAGCATCTATCAGTGCGATAGATGCTGCTGAGATCCAGTGTTGCTCCCTAACCTTCTGGTTTACCTTACTAGCAGATATCACTGCTGTTTCCACAGCTTTTCGGATATCATTCCATGCTGCATCGGGGTGGGCATCACATACATGGCTGCCTAACTGTTTTCCTAGTTGTTCCTGAAATATACTCTTAGCTTGACTATCATTAAGTAGGCCCTAAGAGGTTTCCTTGCAGCGTCTTTCCTACGTCCAGTAAGACGCAAGCAAATACGCGCTCGCACTAGAGCATGATCTGAATCTAGGCATGTGCTCCAGAATGAGCGACAGTCTTCTATCGAGCCCCTCCATCGGTGGCTGATAGCGATGTGATCTATTTGGGTCCAACGTTGGGACGAATTAGGGGGTCGCCATGTTAAAAGATGTTTTTCCTTATGCTTAAAGTTAGTATTTGCAAGGAACAGGCGGTTATCTGAGCATAGCTGCAACAGACGGTCGCCATTATCTGTTCTTTGAGCCACGACACCATAAGATCCACCTAGGTGTCTTTCCCTATCGCTTAGTTTACCTACTTGAGCATTAAAGTCACCGGCCACTATTACTACATCCGAGCGCTTAGCTTTTCGGAGAAGGTCCGAAAGCTTTCTGTAAAACTCATCTTTTACATCATCTGAGCTGCAGTCAGTGGGAGAATAGGCAGAGACGACGAAGAGGCAACGACGAGTGTCCCTATCTTTCCGGATTCTTACTGTTCCGTTCAGTCGGACAGCGCACAAACGACTGTCTACTGGGATCCACTCTAAGAGAGCTAGTTCTGCCCTAGGACTCAATGCTATACCTACGCCGGCGAGGCCACGGGAAGCAGAATCAGGGCTTCCAGATACACGAAGCGTAAATCGAGTCGGTTCTTTATTTTGGCATGGTGAGGTCAAATGAATGACGCTACTCGGATCCTGTATGCGCGTTTCGGAGACGCAGCACACATCGATGGCGCGAGATTCTAAAGTTTTAGCTAAGGAAGCCTGCTGTCCTATTTGGCAAAGTGTTCGTACGTTAAAAGCTCCTACGTGTAGTTTAGAGCGTGGTTTCAGGAGACCAGGAATGGCGTTCCACGTACTCGAATCGTTTGCCCTAGCGGTGCGAGGTGATAAAGAGACGTGAGGAGGGTTAGTCATGGAGATAAGAGAGGTATTAGGAGGTGTAGGAAGGATTTGAATGTGACCACCTTGGTCTCTTGTGCTGTTACGGGTATGAGGGCTGATGTCACTTCCCGGCTGCCCACACCGTGGAAGGGTATTTCTTGAGGAACCTGAAAAGGAAATTGGATTAGTGTTGGTCTTGACGACCTGGGAGCGTGACCGCAGAGCCCAAGGGACAACTGCTTGAGGCCGGTCGCGCACGGCCTTTTTGTGGAAGGTTTTTGACGTGTTAGCTCCGTTCTTCAAAGGGCCTTACCGCCGGAGACGGAAATCCGTGAGGTAAGGTGAGGTGTGACATTTTTAGGGTCGACCTTTTCTAACCCCACCCCTCCTTGTGGGAAGGCAGCATCGCTGTCATGCTGGTTGTCCGAAGGAAACACCTTACTGCTGTCACACCTCTCTACAGTCAGCAGTACGACTTCGCCCTCAGACCTTGAGTTGCTGCTTTTAGTCTTACCGTTCACCAATCGACCTGCCTGGCATGGTAGAACCTACAGGAACATATGTTCCAGCCAATATAGCTCGGTTGGGTCATCACGATAGGCAAGCCCGACCACCGCGTCAAGGTAGCAGCTTCGATCGGGAAAGTCAATAAGAGAAGTCAGGAACAACATTGCTACAACTTTTTGTTGTACACTCCACAGACAGTCTTTTCTAACTGGATGAAGTGTAGTTACCTTCTCACAATAATTTAATATATTATGTTCTTGTCTTAAAAATGACTATTCTAAATGCTTAAACATTTTGCAATCGATTACAAATCACGTGATGTCACAATAATGGAACAACGTGTGAGTGACATTTGATCATAAACATATAAACCTGAGTAGAGTGGAAGAACCAGCAGGTTAGCGGGTTTTAAATTACGATTACAAAACGTATAATAAAACGACTAACTACAATACATAATCTAATGCAGTACCAATGGTCGAAGTAAGTTATGGCATCAGGAAATTACTCACTTCGGTAGGTCCATACTACTTGATTAGTATCTACCGGGTAATCATGATCAATGGGTAGAGACCTTGGATGGAGTGTGGTATTATTTCTAACACTAAAGCTGTATTCATTCCTTATCTTTTCTTAGGTTCTGAGATTCAATACTTTCTTCGCCTTCTAATACTTACTCCTTTTTCGAACAATATGCTTCAATCTTATTACCACTAATACTTCTTTCATCATTCATCTGATCGATTTCATTTTGTCATGCTAATCTGGTGTGGCAACTTTGACTGATGTACAATTATGCTAGGTATCACATTGATTGTGAATGACTTTCACTATTATGCTGCTTTTTTTCTAAAAAAATTTCGACCAATATAGAAGAATAGACCATTTTCTGAAAGATCACTCGAGTCGTATTCTGTTAGCTAACATGTGACATGTTGAGAATGAAGAGAAAAACAACGCTAAGTGACATCAACCTTAAACTACTGGGAGAATTTCCAATAAATCTCAGATCAGTTAAGAATGAAACCAATCGTTAACATCAGTCAATTACTATCTATAACAAGTTATAAAAAGTCCCTACTCTGACTACCGAACATTTAATTGATGTTCTTAGTCGGGAAATAGAAGCAGACATGAAAAACATGGATAGCAACTGCAAAGGATTGCCCAGGACAAGGTTGGATGGTGAATGCTGGTGAGCGGCCTATGCTCCTTCACGAGGAGTAACAGGCGTAAGTAATTGTTACATAACATTCACTCATATTTATGATTATTAAAATTTTTAACAGAATATTTTGTACTTTATTACAATCAATTTTCGAACTGTCAGACCCAATCAAACACTACTTTCAACAGACGCACGGCTTACAGAAAAATTGCAAATATTTTTCAACATTCGAATATTAATGTAATTTCCACTTTCCATTTCAATGACCACTTCATCTGTTCTTAACAAACATGCGTTTTGTTAAACGAATAATCAAACTTACGAAAATACTTAATATACAACTCAATTATACCTATACCTTCAATAACTAAATGGATAATATTTAACAATACCACAAACTAGCCAAGTGCTCAAGTATCGTACGAGTTACGTTCAAATTTAATTGATCAATTGTATATTATGACTAATGACCAATTTATGTTAAATGTATGGTATTTTGGTAGTGGTTAACAATAGAATTCAATATCCATGACATTGTCTTATCAGAGTCTATCAATCTGATACCGTTTTATATTTGTACCCGTCAGTATTAATCAGGATTAAACCAAACACTTGTTAATAACTAGACTGGTAATTTATGGTCTTCATCTCTGATATAACGAATAATACAGCTGATGTGAAATTTGTGTTTGTTACCATTTGAATTAACTTGAACTGAATCTCTAATAATGCTTCTACTTTGGTAGGATATATATTTCACAAGACTTTATATGATTGTGCTTTAATGATAGAAACTTAAAAAAGAATTCATATTTGAGTCTCTATATAATAATTATCAATTAATGAATTTATTAAACTGAAAAGTGTCATTTAAACGAGAAGTCAATGTATATCAATTAACATAATAAAAGTGGACTGAAACTAAATAAAAATCCCTTTTTCAATCAAGTACGTGGATTTCAATATTCCTTTTTTTCTCCGACAAAAAAGAATGTGTTAATATAACGAGGTTTATTAATTGTTAAGTGTATTGAAATCATTAAAACAAAAAAGCTGACAATCTAACAAATAAAGGTACACATAATACAATAAACTTACAAACTTCCTCTGATGATTTAACGGCTTGTGAAACACTATCACTATTTACACTACTTGATACAGTTGTTAGAAATTGGGAAACGTTATCATTCACTGATTCATCTTTTAAAACAGAACCCTGTAATCTATGAACGAAGTTTAATGTATCCTCAAGCGAAGGACCATCGATTGTTGGTGCGAAAATGAAATGAGCAGCGATTAATTCTTTTATACTGGAATTAATTTCACATTCTGAATTTCTTGTTGATAAATATGTGTATACTTCATCGACGTTATGAAGACGAGTACCATCAGACCTATTATGATGCATAAAATACCGTTTTTAAAAATGTAAACGATAGAGAAAGTTGATAAAAAACACACTGGACAAGTTTTAATCTTTGTCAATATATTATCATGTACACTAACTATATTTCATCTTTAATTCTATAGAACTGAAAAGAGTGAATGTAGTTTACACATTTAACCACAATATTCAAGAACAAATAACTAGGTGTTATTGTGGAAAATTAAATAACTGTACAATATCTTCATAATGAGTATCAATTTTCATATATAATGAAACGAAATTCTGGTGAGTTATAACAGTGGTAAACTCTTATCCATCCTCATAGTGACATCGATTTGATAACAAAACATGGTTTGAGTTTAAATTAGGAAATTTCGTAATTTACAGTAGTTCATAGTTCACATAATTTCTTCATTTATGAATATGGCGGTTAAACGATTGTAATTTACATGAATAACTACTTGGATCAGGCATGTGGTTAGCGTCCCCATCCCGTAGAAAACTAACTCACTATAAAGACGCTAACCAGAAAAAATCATTCAAACCTTTCAAACTCTGCCCTAAGAGTCAGGTCTTCATTTAGAAGAACTATGACGCCTCATGATGAAAGCCGAATTCCTTCGGAAGTTACGAGGCCGATGCCCCTTCTGACAACCAGAGCGACCATTTATTTAGGTACATGGAATTGTTCGTACAATGTGGGACACCGGGAGAGCCTTCCAAATTGCTGCGGAAATGAGGAGATACAACCTAGAGGTGCTTGGGATCAGTGAAACACATTGGACGAAAGTTGGACAACAACGACTAACTTCAGGAGAGCTTCTGTTATACTCCGGCCATGAAGAAGTAAATGCCCCACATACACAAGGAGTTGCATTGATGCTGTCCAAACAAGCACAAAATGCACTGATAGGATGGGAATCTCATGGACCAAGGATCATCAAAGCCTCCTTCAAAACAGAGAAAGAGGGCATTTCAATGAACATCATCCAATGCTATGCGCCTACCAACGATTACAATGAAGACGCTAAAGATCAATTCTACGATAGGCTGCAGCCAGTCGTCGACAAGTGCCCAACAAAGGACCTGACCATTCTGATGGGAGATTTTAATGCCAAGGTTGGAACGGACAACACTGGATATGAAGACATCATGGGACGACACGGACTGGGAGAAAGGAACGAAAATGGTGAGAGATTTGCAAACCTATGTGCCTTCAATAAACTGGTCATAGGCGGCACCATATTCCCACATAAGCGCATACACAAAACCACATGGACTTCACCGGATCACACTACGCAAAACCAAATCGACCATATTTGCATCAACAAAACGTTCAGGAGGACTATAGAGGACGTGAGAACCAAGAGAGGAGCTGATATAGCATCAGATCATCACCTGCTGGTCGCCAAGATGAAATTGAAACTCAAGAAGCACTGGACAATGGGATGGACAATATCACAAAAGTTCAATACGAATTCAAGATAGTCCTCAGCAACAAGTTCCAGGCCTTTCATGATCTACTCAATGGAGAAGGAACTACTATGGAGAGCAACTGGAAGGGGATCAAAGAGGCAATCACTTCAACATGTCATGAGGTCCTGGGTCACAAGAAGCACCATCACAAGGAATGGATCACTGTTGATACATTGGATAAGATTCAAGAAAGGAGGAACAAGAAAGCAGCAATCAATACCAGTCGAACAAGAGCAGAAAAAGCCAAGGCACAAGCTGAATACACAGAAGTAAACAAACAAGTGAAGAGGAGCATCAGAACCGACAAACGTAAATATGTGGAAGATTTAGCAACGACGGCGGAAAAGGCTGCAAGAGAAGGAAACATGAGACAATTGTATGACACGACAAAGAAACTCTCTGGAAATCGCCGCAAACCAGAACGACCAGTGAAAAGCAAGGAAGGCGAGGTAATCACCAACATTGAAGAGCAACAAAACAGGTGGGTAGAACACTTCAAAGAACTCTTGAATCGACCAGCTCCACTGAACCCACCCAACATCGAAGCAGCACCCACGGACCTCCCAATCAATGTTGGCCCACCAACAATTGAAGAAATCAGCATGGCCATCAGACAAATCAAGAGTGGCAAAGCAGCAGGACCAGACAACATTCCAGCAGAGGCACTAAAAGCAGACGTAGCGGTAACTGCAAGGATACTCCACATTCTCTTCAATAAGATTTGGGATGAGGAACAAGTACCAACAAACTGGAAAGAAGGACTTCTGATCAAAATACCGAAGAAAGGCGATCTCAGCAAGTGTGATAACTACAGGGGCATCACTCTTCTCTCAATACCGGGAAAAGTCTTCAACAGGGTATTGTTAAACAGGATGAAGGACTGCGTAGACGCCCAACTTCGTGACCAACAGGCAGGATTCCGTAAGGATAGATCGTGTACAGACCAAATCGCAACTCTACGGATCATTGTGGAACAATCAATTGAATGGAATTCATCACTCTACATCAAATTCATTGACTACGAAAAGGCATTTGATAGCGTGGACAGAACAACACTATGGAAACTTCTTCGACACTACGGCGTGCCTCAGAAGATAGTCAATATCATACAGAATTCATATGATGGATTACACTGCAAAATCGTGCATGGAGGACAGTTGACAAAGTCGTTCGAAGTGAAGACCGGTGTCAGGCAAGGTTGCTTACTCTCACCCTTTCTCTTTCTCCTGGTGATCGACTGGATCATGAAGACGTCAATATCTGAAGGGAAGCACGGGATACAATGGACATCTAGGATGCAGTTGGACGATCTAGACTTCGCAGATGATCTGGCCCTTCTATCCCAAACGCAACAACAAATGCAGGAGAAGACGACCAGTGTAGCAGCAGCCTCAGCAGCAGTAGGTCTCAATATACACAAAGGGAAAAGCAGGATTCTCCGATACAACACAGCATGCACCAATCCAATCACAATTGACGGAGAAGATTTGGAAGATGTAAAAACCTTTACATATTTGGGCAGCATCATTGATGAACAGGGTGGATCTGATGCAGATGTGAAGGCGCGGATCGGCAAAGCAAGAGCAGCATATTTACAACTGAAGAACATCTGGAACTCAAAGCAACTGTCAACCAACACCAAGGTCAGGATTTTCAATACAAATGTCAAGACAGTTCTACTGTATGGGGCAGAAACCTGGAGAACTACGAAAGCCATCATCCAGAAGATACAGGTGTTTATTAACAGTTGTCTACGCAAAATACTTCGGATCCGTTGGCCGGACACTATTAGCAACAACCTACTGTGGGAGAGAACAAACCAGATCCCAGCGGAGGAAGAAATCAGGAAGAAGCGTTGGAAGTGGATAGGACACACATTGAAGAAAGCATCCAACTGCGTCACAAGGCAAGCCCTCACTTGTAATCCTCAAGGCCAAAGGAGAAGATGAGTACCAAAGAACACATTACGCCGGGAAATGGAAATAGACATGAGAAAAATGAACAAGAATTGGAAGGAACTATAAAAGAAGGCCCAGGACAGAGTGGGTTGGAGAATGCTGGTCGGCGGCCTATGCTCCATTGGGAGTAACAGGCGTAAGTAATTTGTGGTCGAATACTAGTAGCTTACGAGTGTCTTCTACTCTTAATGGCCATGTTTCGCTGCCGTAAATTAAAACAGAACGAACTGCCGCGCAGTATACTCGTCCTTTTATTGATAGACGGATATCTCGCCTTCGCCAAAGGTGACGTAAGTTGGCAAAAGCCAAACGAGCTTTTCGAATCCATGCTGAGATTTCGTCCGATACCAGCCCATTAGGGCTGATCAGACTTCCAAGATAAGTGAAGTTGTCGACGCGTTCGACTACTTCACTCCCTATCCTTAGTTCAGGTGTTGACGCAGGCCAGTTCTGAAGCAACAACTTGCATTTAGAGGGAGAGAAGCGCATTCCAAACATTCTACCACTGTTGTTTAGTGCTATCAAAAGACTCTGCATTTTATCAGCGTCTTCACCAAACAGGACTATATCATCCGCGTATTCTAAGTCGATAAGTGGACCTCCTGGTAGGAGATTAATCCCCGACAATTCAGTCGACGAGAATGTTATTTCCACCAGTAGGTCTATGACGAAGTTAAACAGAAATGGAGAAAGTGGACAGCCTTGACGGACATCACTTGAGGTTGCAAAAGCACTTGCGATCATACGAAATAAACTAAGACTGTTTGTACAATAGATAAACTAATGATAATTATGTTCTGAATACAACTTTTAGTCAACAAAAACAGAATACTTAAATTTAAAGAAATACTTCCCTGTCAATACAATAAGATGATGACTTAACACAGTTGTATCAAAATATATCGAGTCCTTTTGAACATGAATCAAAAACGTAGTTTTAAAAAATTAATGAAACAGGCTAGGCTCATAAATACAAAAGAATGAAATAGCATTAGAATTTAAATGACCATCTTTGACAAGGAAAGCAGTTAATTCAAGTAACCACACGGTTAAAAAAGATGCTATAAACAGTAATTGTGAGGAAATTCATTATTTGTGCCAATTGCCTCAGAATGTTTGAGTCTACATTTTACATCTACTTGTAAACTGTAAAAAGACATTTAAACTAGCAATTATTTATCAATCCAAATTCTTTTTGAACTGTTTACTTAAGTCCCTAGAACAGTGCGCTGCAGTCGGGTCAAATATATAGGTAACGAAAGAAAATGTTTTAGGCAATATAACTACTTTACGTTCAAGATATTTACACAAATCATGTAAATCATCGTTATATAAAGGATGCTGACCTATCCTAGTGCTAGCCAGACATTCACATAAGCAGATAAGGTAAATGTACAAGAAATTTCTCTGAATGGTCATTACGAAAAGTCCAGAAAGTACTGATCTACGAGGTAGTTGTGTATTAAATGACTTATTTTATGGTACTATAACCGCACCATGATCAGTAAAGTGTAAAGTGAAACTTATGAGGATTCGACCAACGCTAATAAAGTAGTTTGACATGCCACCGTTATACAATATTGCACATAAGTAAAAGTTCACGAGAAAATAAGCGGTATTAAGAAACTATTGAGATATAGTAAACTTACAGGAGATAAAATAAGTTAATAAATTAGGAAGGAGTAGAGATGATGAGGCTGTGAATTTCCGCTATATTATAGTGGTCTTAATTATAGACGCTGAAATACTGAGATACATTTTCATCTTATATATTGAACTCAATTCACTGATGAGAAATCTTGAAACAAGTTGGATGTATACTACAAAGTACCGCAGCATTCCACTTTGCACTATACTTCACGGACCGATTTATGCCAGATGATTGAAAAGCAAGGAGCACTGGACAACTGCTTTGTCCTAATATAGCAATCCCCAGTAATTTCCAAGTGTAACTTACTCAACTTTTAGGCTTGGTGGACACTACGTTATTTTTAGATCATTAGGTTGACATTCCGTGATTTTTATCTTCAAATTCAGCTATTTCTCGACCATCTATATAGACAATACACTGAATGCTTCATTAGAGACCCTGTACAAAGTTAGCAATCTTTACAACCTTCCACTAAAAACTCCCTTTTCTGCTTAATATCATCAAGAAAATTATTTAAAATAAGTTCCAATAACTTTGTTATGTATTTATTCGACAAAATGTTCACGTCACACTATCTCTAAGTTTTAGTTATAATAACGAATTTGACTTGGTATAAAATATGACCATACATTATTAAGATTACTGATATTTCATATTTATGTTAGGTTGGAAAAACTACACGGATTTATTCTGAAAAGGTGTGTGATCTTAAGATACAAACTTTGAAGAAGAAAATGATGACAACACTTACGTTATGTACACTACATTTTGTGTTTTCTTATTCACTAGACGAGTCCATCCTTTATGCGATTCTCCATAAGTAGCTTCTGATGAAATAAGTGATGATCCAGAAGAAGGGACTGATAATAAATTAGATGAAATATAATTTGATCCAGTATCCACCAAAGTAGACAGTGAGTTCGAAGTTGTTGATATTGTGACAGTAGACAAATGGTTTACTGCCCGAGGTCTTTTAGAATGACGTGATCGGTTATAAGAGTTTGTGGCTAAATAAGCTTCAGCAGCTCTGGAAATCGGTTGATGACAAGCCAATGCAGCTGCATGTGCTGCAGCAGCATAAGAAGCCACAATACGATCAGGAGGACTTTCTTCTTTATTTTTTTCATTACTAGAATGAATTCCATTACTTCGTTGAATCAAATCACGACCACTCTGAAGGAAAGTACAGAAAAAATAGATAAAGTAAACAAAACAACAAACACTAGAAAGACATTATTCACAAACAAATTAAGCGAGCAAAGCACGAAGCGCGAACAGTGCTAACAACCAGTACTGAATCGACGCACTATTTTTTTTAAAAAAATCAAAAAAAAACAGTAACACAAAAGCAAAGTCACCACAATGTGCAAATGCAAATGCTACATAAACACATAGATATGTAGAAGTAAATACGGACGAACATGAATGCAACCATAAAAATTACATGACGAAAAGCATTGGCTAAATTGCTTTACTATGCTCTCATATATATATATATATATATGAGAGCTATCACAAAAACCAATGAATAAACGGTGGATGATCATTCATTTACATGAATAGGACTCCACAGTAAAAAAAGATAATTATGATTCAAAAACAGAGTTGTGAGTGCTAGGTTGTTTTATTTATGATTACCATTAACCAGTAGAGGCGCAGATGAATCGATTCGAATGTGAATCAGCCGTTGAACTGAAACAAGTGTAAGAAAGCAATAAAAAGAGCACCAACGAAAAAATACATAAAATATAACTCTGTAAACAAGACAGTGATGAAACGAAACGAACGAATTTTGAGTGGATACCCTTTTAAACTATGAATGTATGCTGAAAATTCGATAAAAGTTAAGTATTCTTAATCATCGTAAGCTCTGCATAACAAATATTTTTCTGCATTGAATGGTTTACACCAAGCAAACTATAATCTGGACAAATTGATGAAAGCACATATCAAATTTAAAGCATACATAGTACAGCAAACAACATTCCACCAGACAGTACAGTTACTCAACATTCAAAAACATGAATAAACTAGTGAGATTCAGAGAACAGAAAACCAAGGGATATTGTTATAAGAACCTTACATCATTACTCACCAAAAAAGATTACTAGATGCCCAGATAAGCCTAGACCGCAAATCTACGTCGACAAGTGAATTATAACGAATGCATAATACATGACAAAGGGATAGAAATACTAACATAGCTGGGTGATTGAAGGTCATTCTACAATTTTAACCAGAAATTCGATCAGAGTTTTGTTACTTGCAATTGCTAACTCAAAAAATCTATCAATGCCACGGTCGGACTTGGTAGTTTCAAATAAATTGAGCAGTGGGTAAAAAGTTAATGATAAATATTTTTTTGTCATATCCCAATTGTATTTCCGACGATTCGTGGCTCAATGTAAGCCACTTCTTCAGACAGCGTAATCTAACATGCTGGACTTGGAGACTAGGTTCCACAAGCATAAAGCAAAACTGATCTTACTGAAGCGTTGTAGACCCAACCTTTTACAGCCAGACTAAAACCACGAAGGCGACAAAGATGGCTTAAATTGACATAAGCCACTCTGGCTCTCACTATACGTGAATTGATCTCATCACTCAAAATCTTCCTGTAATAACCATAGAGGGATTAGTTTGACTAATATAGCATCTAAAATACTAGCCTCAATGATTATCGGACGCCTAACAAAGATCCGTGAACTGCAAACACGAGAAAATCAGGCTTGCTCCAGACGTGGTCGTGGCTGCATCGACCACACCATTCGTCAGGTTTTAGAAGACAGGCATGCTTATCAGCGTCCGACAATGTTTTTCTTGGCTTATACTGCGCAGAAGTTCGTTCTGTTTACTTTACGGCTGCAAAACATGGCCATTGAGAGTAGAAGATAGTTGTGAGTTACTAGCATTTGATCACAGATGTCTTAGAAATATTGAAGTAACTGCTTCTATGAATTAGGTGTTCATCTTTACGTGCTGTGTGGTAACTTAGACCGATGCATATACGTGCCTGGTCCTACGTTGTAGCTGACTGACTGACCAGTACCTACATCCAATGGAGCTGTTTCCAGAACATCATGGAAGGAAAAGTTGAAGAGGGGTGGTGAGATTGAGCAACCTTGCCTAACCCCACTAATTGAGTGAAACAATGGAGAGAGGTGGTTGTATGCCCTTACTCTGCCTCAGGTAATAGTATGTGAGGCATTCAAAATGTTAATAAACTTATCAAACACACCCTTTTTCAATAGACGATCCCGGAGAACAGTTGTGTTCAATGAATCGAAGGCCGCCCTGATGCCAAGAAACACTACGATTGTTGGTAAGTGATAAGTATGACAGTGCTCTAAGATTTCGCAGACGGTCGGCGAAGTGAATTCGAACAGCAAAACAAATTACTGTATTGCTTAAGTAACCAACGCACCATAACACTATACATCAAAACCACACTATTTCACCATTATCAGCCGGATAATAGGAGGGAAGCAGGTTGGTGGAGGCTTAAAAACCTGAGCTATTGCGTTTTGAGTGTAGCTCATACCCGAATAGCTGGTGAATAGGTGAGTTCATGTTTTCATTATCATATACTGCAGTACGTTGAGTATTTTGGCTACGGGTACTGAAATAAATACCACAAACATATCTGCGCATTCCAGTTGAAAACAGGCTGATAAAACTAATACACTGAAATATAATTACTTTATATAACGGATAAGAATGATCGAGATCATGAATCGATTGACGTTAGACCACCAATGAAAACCTGGAAGCATTGGACGGCCGTTTCGTCCTAGTATGTGATTCAGCAGCACCCATTCACTGCCCTACACGCGGGATTCGAACTCAGGACCTTTGGTCGCGCGCGAACGCTTAACCTCTAGACCACTGAGCCGTCATTTAACAGTGGTGGTCTAACATCAATAGATTCATGGTCCCAATCAAAAACTTAACAATCTCCACAACCCCATACTGAAGATATAAAATGCTCAGTCAGTTGATTTCTTAAAACAAATTACGTACTCAACCCACCAAACCAAAATTACATGCTACAAAACAGGTAGGGTCCTAACTAACAACAAAGTGCCACACACCAAGACGGGACACCATATATAAATTATTAAGTGAGACAATAAAATTCAGAAAAGTAATGACAAAGCAGGAACTCAAATATCTCAGTGCTAAACATTCACAACATGCACAATAGGTTTACAACATTCACTACGCAGTAGTACGGTACAACTACCTAATACGAATGAAATAACCAATATCATAAGATTAAAAAAACTATTGAGACAACATTCCCGATAGCAGGTTAGATGCAATCAGTGAGTCAGTCATAATCAAACCACGACTAGGGACAAATATGTACCGCTACAAGTTGTCATACTTCGCATTAGCACAGAGACAATAAATTGGTAACTTAAAAAGCAATTGTGGAAATAGTGATATTTGTGGCAATAAAAAACCAAGTACACAGAACATCATTAGAAAAAGGAAGTCGGATAGTAAAGTAGTAAATAATACGGAGAATAGACGCCTACGGATAAATATCGGGCCAATACATCTCCATTAGTGTGACTGATTTTCAGATACATCATCTGAGTTCCCAGACTGTCGATTAAGAGTTATTATCTAGTTACATAACGAAGTTTGCACTATTCCGCATGATTCAGTCCAATAGTTAGTGACATCATAGAATGATAGTATTTAGCTACGTTTAAATCCTTATAGTTTATCCCAAAACTAGTCAGTATAGGGTGTTAGAGTAGGCGATGGATGGGTATGCGCAACACTAATCTAAGCCACCTCAACAAACTAACGTCTACTCCCCATATACAAGTTTGTCTGTTGGCACAGCCAAACACCAAGCGTAGCATTATTCACTCCAGTCTCATTAAATGAGATATATCTCAAATACACAAACGACCAGACACTTAAAGCATCCGCACACTTACTTTGACAAACGTTCACGACCACAAAGTAATGAGAAGCGAACTGAGCATGATGTTTTCTCTGACTGGTTGACTCTAATACGCAGAGCATCTTAACTGAGCTACAGGCGTCACAATCCGGAAAAAGTTACGAAACTTATTTGGTTGCGGGCTAATGGAGTTCCAGGGAAAAGTTACATATTTCATGCTCATAATATCAAGGTTGATCAAACAGGTAGTAGTTGCGTCGGCGTTACCTACATAAAGTCTAAATAACACATAACATAAGGCCCCACCAGTAATGATACAGCTTAATTAAAATATGCAAAGGAGAATTGGATTGAGCTACAAGAATACTTACGGCGCTTGTGTACATAACTGGACCACGAACAATCGTGTGAACAGATGGATCAGATGGACCAGAATCAATAACCGAGTGGGCCGTTTGGGTCACTGAAGCAGGATAACACAAAACTGGGTTTTGGCACCCTGCAGGTGCACAAGAAACTGAAGGTACTACGCCAACCCCAAGATTCGGAGGAGGAATAATATTCGCGGTATTTATGATAGGTAAATTGAGTCCCAAACATAGGTTCCTAACAAAAGGAGTGTGTCCTGCGAAAGGGAGACCGGAAGGTGAGCCATCAATACCTTGCATGGTCAGTCCTCCGGGATTAAGAGGAGAGGCATTAAGCAAGGTATGTGGGATAGATAAGAAGCAAGAGAGACCGTCAACAGTCCCACTGGGGAAACGAATCATCGGCGTACTTCCCGGCTATGCAGTCAAACAGAAATCTCCGCCACCTTCAAGCCTCGAACAGCTGCGCTACATCGTTGTGTACATAGATGACAGTCCCAGATGCCCGCAGGCTCCTAAACTGTAATCTTTGATGTAAACTAAACTTTTGTGTGTAGTACTCATATAATGATTGAATGATAAAAAGTTCAATGGTGATGTACATAAAACGCTTATTGAATATTGAAATCATGTTGATGTCATCAGCCGAACAGAAGACTGACGGCCTTTATTAGTTTTTTATCATGCTTATCCATATGTCTAGTACCCTCATAATTAATTCAATAGTGAGTGAAAACTTCCCTCGCTTGGTAACCAACAAACATAAAGAGTGCAAATTTGCAAGCTAACTGAAAATGACTTTTAGCGGTGTAAGAAACCGTCTCATAACCCATAATTTATGTTGCTTATCAGACCTTCCATAAGACTGGTTATTCCAGCAATACATGACTTCAGGTATCAGTCAACATCGACTTTGAGAATAAAACATATCTCACTCGGCTGAAGTTCACTGATTCACTGGTCTGCCCGATGTTATAATGTCATCAGTGCTCAACCTGTCGTTCTATCATACATGAGAACTGTCTAGAAGTTATTCATGACCAAAACATGCAACCCACTCTATTTGCACAGACCATGTTCCGCAACCAAAAAGCTAATGTCTTTGACCTAAGCTGATAACAACCAACTGAGCTTTATCAATCCACTCCAAGATTTCATCTGATATCTACTCAATGAAGCTGATAAGTCGTGCAAAATATGTGAAGATGTTGGTAACATGAAGTACTTAACTTCCCATTATCAGTCTTTGAGTTGATCCCTGACTTTAAACAAGAGCGGAAGAAAGAATTCGGATTCATAGAGAGAGAATTGTGCTCCTTAGATGTTTTCACAGATGCTCAGATCTAAAGACGGCACTTTATTGGAGTCTTCCAAAAACAGAACCATGTCAAGAAGTGGATGTCACAGTAGAATATAGATTTTTGAAATGTAAGATAAGAATCTCTGTGATAAAGTCAGATTAAAATTAGTCGACTGAGCAATCTAGCGGGATACCTGTAAGATTTAAGGTTATAACTGTCAGCATCGGGCTCATTTATGTTGCTAAAAAAATCAATTTTTGGTTTTGTGTAGATGTTATCACATGGCAACATACAAAAAGTCAACTGTGACGAATACTATGGGCCCGAAAAAATCAGATTGAACACGCAGTACTGCAACTTATACCTCGATGCTCATGGTGCCGAACTTAACATTCGATTGATTCAGTAAAATTCCATGAATCCAGATAAATACATGTCTGAGCTTAAAACTGTAGAAGCTTTAGAGCTTGAGCTTATATTAAGTTACAGGAATATCGTCTTTGTTGTTTGGCTGCGGAACTGGAAAATTGTAAATAAGTCAGGCAGTGGTTAGAAGGAAGGATATTAAGGGATAGTCCATAGCTTAAATTGAATAAGATATTAGATGAAAAAACCAAATAAAGAATTAGATCAGGATAACTTTCAAATCCTTGTTTACATTAGATGCTAGATAATGTGTACTTACGTCGATCAAGTGCCACATCTGCTAGTGGTTGGTGTTTTAACAAGTTTACGCGTGAGAGGTAATCAACAGACTAATGGAGAAATCGGTTAGCACAAGTGAAATTCAATGAAATACGTTAAAGTCAACATGAAAAATAATAACAGGCCGCGTTTTTTTAGTCGGTCTCACCGATGTTGGATTATGGTCTAGTTCATTATTAGTACTACTATAATAGTAGAATTAATCGCAAAATTGTAGATACGTTTGATTCTCAGGTATCGAACCCTTTGGTACTAACGGTTTCTTTTATTGTTTAGCGCGCTACTTTGCGTTAGAGAAACTTCTGACTGTATAGCACAGGCTGTACCGTTTGAGGTATTTTGTATTTTTGATGTGATTTGTTCTGTTTTCTAAATTAGAACCGTTTATTTTGAGCACAGAGTTTGTGTCTTGATTTAATATAATACGAGTATCTCAAAAACGCGTTGTGAGCTATACAAAGGAACGTGGTTTGGTCTAATCTAATAAATTTTGGGTTTGTCAGTCCATTGTTGGAATCGAATATTGGTTGTTCGGTCGCTAAAAAAAGTATCAAAATTTTTTTAAAACAAGGAAAGTTTAATAATCATTTGATTGTTATTGGCTTAAGTATTCATCAAAAGATACATAGGAAAATTATGATCGAGAAAGGATTGCTCAGCATGATAAGATATAATGTTTAAATAGAGATGAAATGTAATCGGAATGACCGTGGAAATAAAAACAAACCAGTGGAAGATTTAAGAGGAAGATCGAAGGTGAAGCACATGACTGTAAAAGAACAAGAGTATGAAAAAGAGAGAACAATTTTAACACATTAAGATCATGGTAGGAGAAGAGGTTGTACTAGTCTCTTTTTCACACACAATTCTGATTTTTCCAGATGTATGGCTACCGCTTCTGCAATGCGAAAAATATGCAGTCTAATTGTCTTCGGAAGACTTGTAGAGTGGTGTCGAGTTGTGATTAACTATGAACACCGCTACCAAGAAACACGTGCCAAGTTAATCAGAAGGCGAAGGTTGGACGTAACCAAATAAATCCATAAAATCCCCGAGAAGCCAAATATCAGAAGACAGTTAATGGACCAAATCGAGATGTATTCGCTGGCGATCTCGTGGCATCGAAAGGATACCGAGATCGTGCCAGAATACAAGCTTGGTTACAGAACGTAACCGAATTCGCGCGAAGTTACAATCAAAGTGTGTGTAAAAGAATGGAAGCAAAATATAGCTGTCATTAGCACAGTCAAACAAAAGCACGTTAAAACAAACACTGGTACAGTTGGTTATAATAATAATTGTTTTTATTAAACCAGTCGTGTTCTCGTGATAAATGTGAGTCACTACAGGAGCCCCCCGCTAGAAAGGGTTTACACTTTCGATAAATAGCGGTTTGAATCGTGGGACTGATCGGCTGACGAGCGATTGTAGGACGGAAGAATTGGCGAACAGGAAAGCGATCGTTGATCGTCGAGTTGCCAACGAAGGTCGTTTTCGGAGAACGGTACCAGGAGCGATGTGCTGTATTTGTTGCTTGAGTTGGCATGCTACACCAGAGTGGTTTGTATCCAGAATCTGAAGATGGCGTTCGTAGGGGTGCACACCAGAAACGCTGCAGACGTAGGACGAAACCACGTTGAGCCAAAAGACCAGAAGCGACCATAACGACCAAGTTCGAGACCAAGCGTATGCCAAGCATTCGAAACCAATATATCGACTGAGTGCGTTGACAAGAGCGTGGGTGGCCAATCCAGCTTTCGCCAAAGTTGACTGAAGTCGACGGAACCAAACGGAGATGGTCGAAGGCGTGGGCTCAGGAAACAAAAAGAAAATCAAAAAAGAGAAGAGTGTAGCATGCGTGTAGTATAGGAATAATCCTACACCGTATCGGTTGTTAACTGTGCGGCTAGTCGCGGAAGCGTACGGGTAACCGTACTCGGCGACCGGAACGTGAGACGGTAGTCTCGTTCGTATTTCGTGAGCCTGCAATCTCATCCGAGGTCAGAGGCGGCGTGGTCTGCTGATCTGGACGTGAGACTGTCGTCTCGTCCGTAGACGGTGCAGATGACGCGTGCTGTTGACCGGGACGTGAGAATGAGGTCTCAGATGTATCTAGCGTGGGACCTGAAGAAGATTTAAGGATCCCGCTAGGTTTGATAGGTCTAGCATTGAATCTCAGGTTATCAGATAGGGCACTGTCATCGACGTGTGCTGGTTTGAGACGATCAATGCTGACGATCTCGACGCGTCCATATCGATCAACCTTGAAGGTCTTTTCGTGACGAGCGATCACGTGAAAAGGGCCTTCGTAAGGTTGTTGCCAAGGTTTGCGTACCGAATCTACTCGTACAAAAACATGTGAACAGGTAGATAACTCTCGAGGGAGAGCGACCTGTCGATGTTGTATTCGAGTTGACACCGGAGACAGCGTTCGCATAAATGCAGACAGTCGATGGACGTAGTCTGATTTACCGAAATTAGGTCTGCTCCGTGGTGTGAAGAATTCTCCGGGCAGACGCAATGTCGTGCCGTATACAAGTTCAAGGGCGGAACATTGGATATCTGCCTTCAAGCTCGTTGTGATCCCTAAAAGAACGAGCGGTAAGGTTTCGTGCCAGTTGCCGTTTTCGTGTGCTCGTAGAGCACTTTTAAGTTGGCAGTGAAACCGTTTACTTAACCATTTGGTGCTGGGTGGTAGACAGATATGCTTATGCGTATGCATTCCGTACCAAGCAGCCGGGTCAGCGAGGAGAATAGTTAATAGGGGAAACTTTCTCGAATAAAGCGTGGAATTCATCGTCACGCGAATAAAAAGTAACAAGGATTCGGTACACGTACATGTGAGTCTATTATATTAATACTATTCTTATCGTTATCCGTCATGTCGAGTATATTATATATTAAAAAATATGAAAATATACGACAGACGTGGATAGATAAATCATAGACTCACCGAATTGGCTTCTTTGGAAGATTTGATCAGAAGTTGAGGCGTGTTCCAAACTTTGGGATCACCAATTGTAGCGTGGCGTCGAGTTGTGATTAACTATGAACACCGCTACCAAGAAACACGTGCCAAGTTAATCAGAAGGCGAAGGTTGGACGTAACCAAATAAATCCATAAAATCCCGAGAAGCCAAATATCAGAAGACAGTTAATGGACCAAGTCGAGATGTATTCGCTGGCGATCTCGTGGCATCGAAAGGATACCGAGATCGTGCCAGGATACAAGCTTGGTTACAGAACGTAACCGAATTCGCGCGAAGTTACAATCAAAGTGTGTGTAAAAGAATGGAAGCAAAATATAGCTGTCATTAGCACAGTCAAACAAAAGCACGTTAAAACAAACACTGGTACAGTTGGTTATAATAATAATTGTTTTTATTAAACCAGTCGTGTTCTCGTGATAAATGTGAGTCACTACAGACTTCTACCTACCTTGTAGATGACCTTGAATGCAGAGTCCGTCTTGATTGAGTGACCTGTGTTCACAAGGTGTCCGATTATAAAACTTTTTATTGAGGCGTTGCCTCCTCTTTTTAGTCACGGCTCCAAGCTAGCAATCCTAGCTCTTTTTAAGATTACCTTGGCCTTCACGATGCGCAAAATAACACCACGTAACTTTTATGTACTAATTCAAGACCACTGATTTCCTCTTTTAAATAATTCTTCTAAGAAAGGATACTTCACTTACACTTTGCCCGTAAACTAACTTAAATAGCACATAACCTAACTCAGCTTATCAATTTGTTAGTATCAGGAAAGTAGGGTAAGTAGGCAAATATACATTACACTAGCGAACTTATCAAAACAAGATGACTACTTGCATGCTCATGCCTGTTACCCTCATGGAGGAGCGTAGGCCATCCACCAATATTCTCCATTCAACCCTACCCGGGCGACTCTCTTCCGTCCTTTCCAGCCATTATCCGTCCTTCTCAAGTTTGCTTCCGATTCCCGACGTAGTGTCTTCTTCGATCTTCCTTTTTTCCGTCTCCTTTCAGGATTCCAAGTTAATACAGCTCTCGTGATGCAGTTTGATGATTTTCGTAATGTTTGTCCAATCCAGTTCCAACTTCTCTTCCCAATTTCCTGTTCACTTGGAACTTGGTTTGCTCTCTTGCACAATAGTTTGTTGCTGATGGTATGTTGCGTAGACAATTATTTATAGATACTTGTACCTTCTCGATGATGGTTGTGGTAGGTCTCCAAGTCTCAGCTTCGTACAGTAGAACTGTTTTGACTTTGATATTGGTTTACAGTTGTTTTTAGTTCCATTTGTTCCTCAGTTGTAGGAATGATGTCCTTGCTTTGTCAATTCTCGCACTGACGTCTTCATCTGATCCTCCTTGTTCATAGATGATGCTTCCCAGGTACGTGAAGAATTCCGCATCTTCCATAGTTTCGCCGTCAAGTGTGATTAGGTTAATGTTTTCATGTTGCATTTGAAGACCTTGGTTTTTCCCTTGTGTATGCTGAGACCTACTGATGGAGAGTCTGCTGCCACATTAGTTGTCTTTATCTGCATTTGTTTGTGTGAATAGAACAGAAGGGCCAGGTCATCCGTGAAGTCCAAATAATCAAATTGCATGCAAGCTGTCTATTGTATTCTGTGCTTCCCGCCATATGTTGGGGTCTTCATAATACAGTCGGCGACCAGAAGAGAGAGGAAGAGCGAAAGTAATCAGCCTTGTTTAGCTCTGGTCCTCGCTTGGAATGCATCTGCCATCTGTTCACCATGCACCAATGCTGAGTCGCCCTTCCGAGAAATTCAACGGAGCCTCCGGAGTCCCAAAAGGAGCCGAAGAGTCCTAGCCAATCAAAGCATGATGGAGCATTCTAGAATTCCAACGTGGTGTGCTACTACTGGCCAGTAGCATCATATGTCGCTAACGGATTGGCCGAAGTATGATGCTGATTTAACTAACGTTAACATCTATAAATACCCATGTTTTCTGTACAAAAACGAACCTTGGGGTTAAGTGTCTCTCTCATACTTTGAAACTTCTTTCTGGTGTTCAGGTCGCTGTATAGCTATAGAGTGCGGGTTATCAGAATAGCTTAGGAACGAATATAGCGTCCAATCGACAAAACTTAACAACCACTTTGTAGTGTGGTCCTTCGTATGAATTCCGGATAAAGAGGATTTTCACAAGTACAAAATAGTGTCGAAGAAGCTTCCATAATTTACTCCTATCCACACTGTTGATCGCTCCCGCATAGTCAAGGAATTTTCTGAATAGTGATGTGTTCCACTCAACCGAGTATCCAACGATTGTTCGTAGTCTGTGCATGACCGACTCTTACGAAATCCAGCCTGTTGATCTCGAAGTTGGGCGCCTGGTGAGTCTTTCGTCCAGTTCAGCAAAACTCTGTGGAAAACCTTTGCTGATGCTAATAATAATGTAGTTGTTCTATAGTTCTCGCATTTACCAGATCTTCTTTCTTCTGTTTTTTGATGAGATGTCTTTCTTTCCAATCTGTTGACACTTATTATTCCTTCGAAATCTTCCTAAATAGGAAGTGGAGAATGCTTGCATTTACTTTTATGTCTGACTTAAGGTTTTCAGCTCGTATATTGTCAGGTTCCGCTGCTTTCCCAATCTTGACTTATTTGATGGCGATTCAGATTTCTTCACTGACGATCTCATCAAAATAAACTGACCAATGGTGTATTATATTTTACGGAATATATCTGAATCTTTGGTCATCTTCTATAATTCTATTGTTTTCAGTCTTTTTGCTAGAGATAGATAAATGTCATATGAAACAGAATTCAAATTACCACTCGATGATATTATTAACATTATTGCTACTCTTTAGTTGTACACAAGTTTCAGTAATTGTTGTGTAATATTCACCACACTTAAACAGGCTCACTAGAATTCGATAGGATACTGAGTTGAGTTAAAATTAAAAAAAAGAAAGAAGGAAAGAAATCTGAAATACGTAAATAATTTAATAAGTGCGTAAAAACAGAATAAGTACAAACGGTATTGTTAATAGTTTAGAATGATGTCATAAAAGCCTTAGTCTGATAGAATAATCATCATATGTCAGTTCGCATGGGTCATATACATGTGGTGAAGATAAAATGAATCTCAAAAAATAATTTATCTAAGTGTGTCCCAATATATTATGCCTTAATCATAACCTTTGAATGTTTAAGAATATTCTTAAAACCCAAGTAGAAGAAAAAAGGAGAAGGAAAAGAAAGGGACAGATGGAGTTGTAGAATTATGGCCCACTATGATATTAGTACTGCTCTAATAATAGACCTAATCCTATAATTGTAGATTTGTCGTGATATAACTGTCTATAAGATTTTACATGGAAGTCACATCATCGTCCACATCAACTCACTACATTGTAAGAATTGCCAATACATGATAGAGAACAAACTTAGGCTAGAGACAGAACAATATAATTACTATGATATATAAGATATAAGGTAACATTCAGCAGGAACCACGCCTGCATGGCCGAGCCATGCCATACGATCAACTCCCATTGATTCAATTCATTCTCCCGCCCTCTTCATCGTCGGATTTATCTCCGTGTTCAATATTAAGTGTCCATTTCGCACATTGTCTCATATTAGGGCCAATGCCACTACAGAGTGACCGGAGATCAATCGTGATAATGGAATTACATTGAATATCGACCTATTATGTGGAACTATAATTGTTAGACATTAATGTTCCTACTCCAGTATACCACAATCTTGAGTGTTTGAGCGATTGAAAGCTATATCCTAACCTTAATGATTCTGGCTACCTAATTCTAACCGAAGTCAAAGAAGCTTATATATATGGGACATTGTTTTGTTTTCATGTCGTAGAAAATCTTACATTTGAGCTGTCGTTTTTTATTTTTCTTCAGAAATCGTAGAAATTAGTATCAGCTTTGGCCAACACAACTTCATAATACTTGGTAGTAATCAATCTATCAATTTTGATACGAATAGTTGAGATGAAAGAAATAATGATCCGAGGGTCACTTCTAGAACGTTGAATACACTATCGTAACATAACATCTATAATACGGATCCAGGAAAAGACTCCAAATTACTCAATACTTCGTATTCCCATTCATGCTGTTCTTACAATAAATCACATTATAGCGGCTACTTGGAGATCAGTAACAAGTGGGCACCAAAATATATGCAAAATGTCGTCCAGTCGATTACCATTTATACATCTAGATATCATTGCTGAAATTCGACGCGGCGTTCGTCGCGATCGCAACTGAGAAATTCAGTCGACCAATGGCTAAGCCGTTTGTTTCAGGCTTACAAAAGTTTTAAGTAATACATGCAATTGTATTGCCATCTGTTCACTGTAAAGTTCATAATTCGATCGACTATCTTCGTGTGTTTTTTAATATCAATTTTCTCATCTCAGATAGTCAATATATGCTGTTAATTCTGCGGTAAATATTCGAGCCAAAGTTCGTAGAATATACGTTTATAGAAATACTTACTACCTTATGTGATCGTCATGTGCCTCCAGTCATGACGAAGCGCTATAACGTAGGTGTACACCGGCTAGAGGTCTTCGATTATTTATCACTCGAACAAAAAAGATATTGGCGACTGCACTTTCATTAAGTGATTCGAGACATCTGGATCGTAATTCAGTATCACACCACCGACTTGACCTTCCATGTACTGTAAGATACAGTTGACTTCACCGAACATGGCTGCTTCGCTTACGGTTAGATGTGCTCAGAAAATACATTCAAGTCAGATTAACCGAAAAGTATTATCAAGAGATCTAGGGGATGATATAAATGCAGAGAACTTCTACGGAACCTTGTTTTTATCACACATACAAAAGACTCTTAGACTCTATGCGGAGCAACCATTCGCCTTTTATTGGCTATATTTATGACTTCAGTTTAAAATTGCAAGATTTTTTGAAGCTTGGTGTTTGATTGTATGACGTTGAAGTAAAACAATCAGTATAAAAGAAACTCCTAATGTATCACTCACTAACTGCACGAAAGGAAAGAACGTCAAAAATAATGGATGCAGTATCGTTACAAATTATTAAAAATGGAATAAAAATGTCATGTGGGTGATTACTAGAAGATAGCAAAGGACATAGCTCAGGCTTCCACTCAACACAATGTGCCTCAGAGTGAAGCACACATCTGGAAAGTGAAGATTTTTAGTTAGGAGAGGCTTGGAACGTTTGCTACAGGCCGAACCGAGAGCCTGGACTAAGTGAAAGGCCTCCTCGAAGAAATCTGGCCGCAGATCTTACTTGGCACTGAGGGACAGAGGCAAAGCCGAATTTCACAGAGGTAAATGTTTTCAGGCCAAGCTTACTGTCAAAATACAAGCTAAGTTCAACTATCTCTGTAGAATCATGAAAACGTGAGAGCACATAAACAAAGGTATTTGCACGATTGAGGAGTCAATGCCAAAGACATAATTAACTTAGAAATGATAGAGATCTTCCTTGCTAACGTCTTAGACAAATCAAACTAAACATACAACACCTCTTCACTGTAGTGCTACTTGAGAGGCTGGTTTATACAAGCCCGTGACAGACATTGATTATTGGTTATATGACCTTAGTTGACTTTAGTCTATTTTTCAAATAAGCATTAGCGGTTATTGTGCTTAAAAAACGAACATCAATCTCGCAGAAAACAGAACAATGGATGAACTGTTTAGATAAACGGTCTGGAATATGGGATGTTCTCAATCCATCAGTGTTAGAGAAATAGTCGATTGTGGAGAAAAGCAAATTTCAGGTAAATTTTATCGTTGAATATTTGACGATAAAAAATATATTTGAACATATGTTCACACGTCTGAAACTTTGGAGGGTTCATGAACATCACAAAACAGTTTTGGTGATCAATGAAGTGACAGCTGAAAGTTTTTTCGAGCTTGGATAGCACAGAAAGTATCTGAAATATCTTATCCCAATCTTCCGATTCCGGAAAAAATTTGACACATTTTGGGAAAATTTCGGAAAATCTGCTGTTGAAAAGTTTGAGGAAATTTGTGTAAAAATTGCACTCAAACTTCAAAATTTCCCCAAATCCGAGGAATTCCCCAAAGTTCCCCAAAATACCCTCAAGCATTTGTGAGGGTCATTTGACTTCAAAAGTTTCTCGAAAATAGCTCAAAACTTCCCCGAAATCCTCCAAAGTTTCTTTTAACTTGGAAGCTCGAGATATTTCTCGAAAATTTCCTTTAAACCTTAGGCGATTCCCCAATTTTTCGGATTTTCTCCAAATTTTGGGGAAGGTCATTTGACTTTGGGGGGTTCTGAGAACTCCTCGAAAATTTTCTCTAAGTTGAGAGATAAGGGTACTGCTGGAGCTCTCAAGTTCGGGGAAGTTTAAGGGTATTTTGAGGAATTTCTCGAAGTCAAATGTCCCTCATCAAGTTTAAAGGGTAATGTTGGGGAAGTTTTCGGGTTTTAGTGCCATTTCCCTAAAGCTTACAATAGCAGCTTCCCGAAATTGGGAGCTCGAGTACGTTTGATGATTTACTAACAAAATAATCTAGAACCAAATTATAAACTCAGCACCTGCTAAGGGAAATCTTTTACAATTTTAACTAATGACATCCATCTCACTCGAAGCAGTATCGTAGTCCTCAGAAGCTGTTTAAGTTCACATTGATCACTGTTTATACTTCAACGATGTGTTGTTAGACAGCGTTTAAACAATAGTAATATTAAGAGTTACAAAAAACTGATCAAAGTGGACGAGTTTAAATGCAGCCTACAATGTTTTTCTGTCTTCAGTAATAAGGATAGTAGGTTGGTGAACCTGTGTTAATCCTGACAAATTGACTTCCAGTGAAGGTCTAGTTTTTCCTTGAAAATATTCACTGGTGGGGCTGATACCACTCGTTCGGGTAAGGCGTTCCAATAATTGACTACTCGATGAGAAAAACGGGATCCCACTTTAAGTTTATTGGATCGCGGTTTATGAACCTTCTTGCTATGACCTCGGAGATTATTAGTGCTGGAGGGAGCAAAAAGATCACATATTAACACCCAAATCATAATTAAAGATACGAAATGCCAGTATAAGGTCACCTTGCGTCCTACGATACGACAAGGGGAAAGGGTTCAGGCGTTTTAAACGCTCATCGTAAGGGAGTTCAGAAAGACCCTTCACTAATTTCATTCTCACACGCTGGACACGCTCAAGCGAGTTAGTATCATTTAACAGACATGGGCTAGCTGCTTAGATACAGTACTCTAAATGTGGTCTTACATAGGTTGGATATAAAATTCGAAACATTTCCTGGTCAAAAGATTTGAGCGCTCGGCGAAGTGACCATAACTCACGAAAACCTTTGACAGCGGCTGCGTTGCAATGCATAGTTGCTTTTAATTCATGACTTATTACTACTCCTAAGTCTTTATGTTCTTGAACTCATGGAAGAGACTTTCCATCGATGGTATAATGGTAACCATCACCGTGACCGACGTGCATTAGCACACTCTTCCTAGAATTGAGTTCTAAGGCCCAACCTCGAGCTTATCTAACTAAATCGTCTAAGTCAGCTTGAAGATCCAGATGATCAGCCTCACTTTTTATCGTTCTCCAGATTTTTAACTCATCCGCAAACAATAATGTCGACGACCTAAGCAACAGCGGTAACTCATTAACGTAGAGAAGGAAGAGCAGAGGGCCTAAGATTGTGCCTTGGGGCACACCACTCTTGACCGGCTTCCAATCGGATAGAGTCCCACTGACACTCACACTCTGTCTGCGGTCACATAGGAAGTTACCTAACCACTCCTGTACAGCACCTATTATTCCGAAGCTCGTGAGCTTCCTCATAAGACCTAAGTGTGAAACCTTGTCAAATACTTTGCTAAAATCTACGAATATCATATCGACAGACAGACCTTTATCTAAGGCTGCTGTCCAATCCTCTCTCGCAATAATTAAGTTAGTCAAGCATGAACGCTTGTTACGAAATCCATGTTTCTCAGAAGCTAACAGATTGTGTGAATCTATGTGTTATAGCAACCCAACCCGAATTATCTTTTCAAGTAACTTAACGAGAATCCTAGTTAGACTGACAGACCGGTAGTTAGATACGATCTGTCTCTGACCATCCTTAAATATAGGACTGACTATAGCGTCTTTCCAATATCTAGGGAGTTGAGCAAGTGAAAGGGACATGTTGAGGAGTGTCGCAAGCGGTTTTGAAATAATGTCCGCAAGAGATGACAGCATCTGTGGATGTAACCCGTCAGGGCCCGGCATCTTACAAGGTTTGAGGTTATTTATCAACGGAAGGACAGTCTCCTCAGTCACCTGTACAGATTCAATGACTGGGATCTCGGTGTGAGTAGGACAAGTATCTGTTACAATAAACGTAGAGGAGACTTCTCTAAAATAGTTTGAAAAAGTTTCAGCTTTTGCTCGATCTGATTCAGCTAGTAATTCTGAATTTTCGTGTAACGGTAACTGGGGCATACCGCCACTACGTTTCATTCGCTGTTTAACATACGAAAACAATCGTTTCGGACAAGTACGGCTATCATATGACAACTCTCGTTCGCAAGTAGTACGGGATTTAGCTATGGTTTTCTTACAAATATTCCGGAATTTCGGTACTCACGCTTAAATGACGCATGACCTGTCAACAAGAATAAGTCCCAGAAATGTTTCCTATGCTTTAACAGCTTTCGAGTTTCCTTATTAATCCATGGAGGGCAATGTGATAGCTTACGTGCTGACCATGGGATAAACGACGACGTTATGGACTCGAATGTAGCCTTAAAATTATTCCATTCATCTTCGATCAGTCCATCCGCGTTGACCGACCAATCAGTCGAGATAGCACAATTTCTGATTGCCCGGATATTAACTCGCCAGATATTGGGACGGGATGGGGCAGATACAAATCGTATATTATGTGTACTGAACTTAAAGTGAAGTACAACGTGATCACTGTTCACTAGTGGGGGAAGGTGGTGAATATCAGAGACATCCTCACAGTGGTGAGTGAGGGCGAGGTCCAGCAGTGACGGATCATGTTTCAAATCAATATGTGTCGGTTTTGTGATACATTGTACAAGTGCACACTGAATAACGGTTGGTAAAAGGTCGCTATCGAAACCTCCATCTGGAGCTGTAAGCTCTGTCCAGTTGATATGCGGTGCGTTGAAGTCCCCAATGGTGAGACAACATTCTGCCATACTCCAAGGACAGATGTGTCTTAAGATAAAGTCGTCAGCAAGGCAACACGGACGAAGGTATATTCCCCCTATAGTCACTAATCCATTTCTAGATTTAATCTTACAACATGCTACCTCACATGTACCACTAAGATGAGCCTTCGATATGATTGATTGTATACGAAAGTAATCCCTAACGTATAACATTATGCCTCCCCCCTTGTGACTTAAAAATCTATCACTTCTAATACAGATATAGCCTGCGATGATGGAAGAACATTCTGTATCTACGGTGAACCAAGTTTCTGTAACAACAATTATATCGGGACTTAATTCATCCACCATCAGACTTAGCTCGGACGTTTTATTTCTAATACTACGGGCGTTCATGTAGCACGCACTTAAGGTGTTTTGGTAATCATTCGTTCTACCCATACAGGCCTCGGAAGCATTGGATTCCCTTAATTCCCTTAATGGTAAGGTTAGTTTTGCCATTTAACTTGCGAGTTCTCAACTCCTTAAGAGCATTCTTCCACTTGATTTAATCCTCAAGCGGCTAATCTGGTCAGATACGAATATTTGAATCACGGGGTTTTTGTGCGTTTTTCAACAATATATCTCTTTCTTCAAAATTCCCGAAAACCAGCTTTTTACATTCGTTCTGTACACCTTTAGTCATTAGTAATAAGGAAAAGAGGTCGATCGACCTATTTTAATCCTTGCTGTTTGTAACACTGTGGAGATCCAAACTCATTTTGAATATATCAGCAGAAGGTGCTGATATTACGTGTTCTGGTAGGGAATACCAGTGATTCACTACTCAGGGCGAGAAACAAAGCTTCAGACGTAGACGATTTGATCTCGGTTTTTGAACTTTCTTCGAATGTCCTCTCAAATAATAAATCATAGACCGAAGAACATTATAAAACATTAGTACCATGGTCATCGTTCAGTATACGATAAGCCAATATCAGATCACTCCGTAATCTACGGCAAAACAACGGAAATAATTTGGGATGGCTCAATCTTTCTTTGTAAGATAAACGAGAGGGACTTTTTACCATTTCACTCCCTCGTCTTTGGACTCATTCCTGAATCCGCCTCATACTTGAAACAATGACTCGCTGCTTGAATCCCATATTCCACATGCGGTTTCACGAAATTCTGGTAAAGTACTTTAAAATTTTCTTTACGAAGTACTGAAAGGACCTACGAATGGCCCATGATACCCTAAAGCCTTTGGCAGCCTTGAAGTTGCTCGTAGTTTTAGGGTCGTTTCTTATTACGACTCCTAAATATATATGGTCCATTACTTTGGATAATTCATCTTCACGTATTGTGTAGTGCTATGAATCATCATAGTTATTTAATTTCATCACCACACTCTTGTTAGGCTTTACTTTTAGTGACCACCCGCCCATCCATTCCACCGGTGAATTGAGATCATCCTGTAATACTATTCTATCTGACATACTGTGTACCAGTCTCCAAAGTTTTTTGTCATCGGTGAAGAGTAGAACGGACGACTTTGCTACAGTTCGTAATGAGCAATGAGCAGACTTGTCAAACATGATATGCCTTCCCGAAAACCATGTTGTTCCATGGATAAAAGATTATGCCCTTCTACATAGTTTGTAACAGCCATTCGAATAATCTTTTCCATTAGTTTGACGACTGCAATGGTTAGACCATCGGGTCGATGGTTACTAACTAAATTTCTGCTCTCCGCCTTACACACCAGACTAATTATTGAGTCTTTCTAGTCTCTTGGCAGTCTGAACTGATGCAGAGACATATCAAACAGCATGGCTATAAGTTCAGCAATTACATCCGACAAGGGCTTTCCTAATTCTAGGATGAATATCCTCAGAACTACTGGACTTGTCAGGTTTGAGATATTGAAGTAGGTTTAAGACAGTACATTTCTCAATAACTACGGGATCCATAGACGAGCCGCCCCATTGACAATTATTCATTGGTCGTTCTTCATTGCTGATAAAAAACACTTTACTAAAATATTCCAATAAAGCCTTAAGTTTCTCGACATCATCTCTTGTCAATATTAACAGATTTGTTTGTACCAAAAGTGATAGGATTCCATCGCTTCTCTGAGTTCACCTCTTTAAATACGAGAATAACCGTTTCGGACTAATTTTACAATGCCTAACCAATTGTTTTTCATATGAATGTCTAGTCATGATAATTAACGCTTTATAAGCTATCCTTGTCCTACAATATGTCGATCTATACTGTTCTAAGCCAGTAGAGATAAATATATTCAAGTGCTTTTTCCTACATCTAAGATGTTTCTTGACATTTTTAATTATCCATGATGAGAAGTTATTCAGTCTACGTAGTACCAGGTATGGTATAAACGAGGACGTAACTGAACTGAGCTCATCTTTAAATATGAACTATGCTTCTTCAACTGATGAGTCGGTATCTTCTGACCAATCTATCTTTGCAGAGCACACCTGAATGGCCGATATGTTAGCTCTCCACACATTTGAACGAGGCTTAACCTAATCGTTTATCATGTCACAAGCTCTAAACATGAATGACAAAACGACATAGTTGCTGTTTGCTAATCGTAGAAGAATAGTTAGACCAGCATGAGTGAATACCAAGACTAACAAAGAAGAAACTTGGTTTTAACCAAAACGTGTGCTTCTGGGTGCATGCTATAGTAAATTATGCTTCAATACCGTTATCAGAAATCTACTATCAAAGGAGTTTATGGATCCTACGGTAGCCATCGTAGTTCAACTAATATCAGGTGCATTAAAGCCCCCTAATATCAGGCATCTGTTATTTGTACACCATACATGAATGTGTCCTAAAATAAAGTCATCAGCTAAGCAGAGTGAGTTGCGATAGATGACATCGAGTATAAATGTACAACATCCGACAGTGAGTTCAGAGCTAATGACTTCATAACTTCCACTACCATGGGATTCGCAAGAAAAGGAGCGGATATTTATATTATTAGCTATATATAAAAGATGCCATCCCCTTTCTTACATCTTTGTCTATCACCTCTTCGGTAGTGGCATCCGAATAATTCTGGAGTAATATCGAAGTCGTGAACTAACCAAGTTTCCGTCACTGCTACAATGTGTGGTCTTGATTTGTTCACTAATGCTCCTATTTCACAGAATTTATTTCTTAGACTAGGAGCATTTGCATAAAAAACTCATAGGAAGAACGACCTATCCACACAAGCCATGGCAGCATCCGCTCCTAAGACCTGACTGTTTGAAAAACCACAAAATATATGAAACGCTTCACGATTTTGCGTGTCATCCTTGCTTAGGAGCCATGCCAATCTTTGTATCGTTCCAATTTTAGTGCATGTACCGCCAAAGCGAGTGGACTTATGGATTTTACTATTCAGATACACTCTATGGTTGATTTTGGTCATTTGCCATCCTATTTCTTTGTTTTTATGATAGTTAAATGTTATTTTAAAGAAAACGCCAATCTGAAATCATGGAGTGTTTGCTCAATATAGCGATCCAATCTCTAGTTTATTATCAGGTTACTCCTATTGACATAGAATCAAATTGTAATAAATAATAGATGATATAATAAAACTCGGAATTAAAGTAGGAAAAATCGTATGTTTAAAAATCTCCTGTGATGTTAAATACAAGGCAAGAGTATTTACAATAGGTCTGAAGTAAAGAGGATACTTTTAGATTCATTAAAAGAATTAATTTCGCCTGACAACAGATACATTTTAAAAAATTCTACATTTTCAGTTATGAGTTTTTATGACAGTTTTCACAAATTTTTTAAGTCTTAGTAAGTGAAAATCTTTTTTTTCTTATGTATTTTGTAAAGGTGAGTTAAGCTCTTAAAAATCATTCCACTTTTGAATGATAAAATAATCAAATGAATGCTCATACCCAGTTCATTTAGAGAAATCTTTAAGTTTTAACATCCGTAAACGAAATAGTAATTTCAAGCTAGTCCTCTTTCAACTTTTCAGCATAAATGAAATCTGCATTTATGGACTAAATAATTTTTCGTTAAATGAATACCGTATACCATAAGCTACGTAACGTTTTATTAAAAATAAATTTCGGTTTATCAATATCCCCAGCGATAATGTATCCTAGACAAAGGATATTCACCATGTCATGTGAAGTTTATTTAGTGATACAGAGTGCTGGTTATTATGGTTGTTAGCGGGACATAGATTGGATAGAAGCACACTCAAAGCACGATTGCTTTGGCGCACGCTGATTGGGTAAGAATTAGCCAATCAGCGCTAGTCGACACCTTAAGAACACTCTAGAAACCTTCTCATGTAAAAACTATAAATATATTAAAGTTTTTCCTATTGTGCTTCTTACTTCCATCTAACTTTGTTGTTTGGAATACAATCTATTTCCTGTTCACCCGTGTTCTGATTTAGGACGTGTTTGGTGAATTGGTGTCCGAGAATACTAAGCAATAGGAATAGTTGTGTTGTAATAAAAGAGATTTATAACAATGGTAATAAAGCCTTCTTTAACAACTTTCTCCTCTGTACTGGTTTAATATATATTAAAAGCTATTGTGTTTTTATTAAGACTGACTTTTCAAGTACAGGCTGCAATTTTTAGAACGTTCATGTTGTTGTTACGGTTTGCACTTCAGAATTACTACCAGATTATGTTTTTATGTCAAGGACTAAAGATTTAACCCGATAAGCTTTAGATGTTTGAAAAATATCTTGATAATATTTTAGTACGCTAGTTGATACATTTTCTTCTTGGATAGGGGGAAGATAATGAAGCTTAACCAAGTAAATCAAAAGAAACAAAAGCAGTAGTGTTTTTAAGTAGTCACAACGGATGAAGATGGAAATGAGTATTTTGGGTCTTAGTTTATATGAGATGTACCTGTAGAAGGCTGTAAATAAATGTCATCAATCAGGGTACATTTATTTTTCTTTCTAGGCAATATACTATGATACATTATTGATACAATTGCTTAGCTATCGACTTAGAATAACTTATTGATAATGAGTAAGTTCCTGTAATAACCTATTTTTAAACTTTGTTGGAATCAGGGAGTTGAAATTTTGTTTGTTTTATAAAGCCTTACATATAAATAGATTGTCTGATGAATTAAAACAGGACGATGTAGACAAGATTTCTAGATCCTATATACAAATACATATAAGTCGCTTTCGTGTTTTCATTTATGTAGATCATGTTGATCATGACCATTCATTAACTAAAGCAAATGGTGAGAAAAGAAACTCTCAACTGTATAGTAAGTAGTAAATTGTCTTTCCTATTCTTTCTGTTTTCTATGTATAATTTTATAATTGGTTGGTAGAAGTTGTAACTGCTGCGGTGGAGTGATTATCCTTAGTTTTTTACTTTCGAAAATTATCTATTTTATCACTTAAAATATGTACCAGGTTGTTATCTGGTTGTCTGCGAAATTTTCCGAATGTATCGTTTCCGGGACATTTGGTCAATTTCCTGTTCGGTTAATGATTAATTGATATATATTAGGACGCGATTTTCATAAAAGATTACATTTTCATCCCTAAAGCTTACTACATTAACTCGGAATGTTGGGCTGGCCACAGTGGATGTGTCCATTTTAGATATCTTTGGATACAGCCAGCCGTTACCAAAAACCATCACATTTGTAATCCCTAGTATTATCCTTAAGACAATCATGTTGAATACTTCAAGAGTATTAGAAGATAAAGATGAGTCGAATAAATATGAAAGTGGCATAAAATTTGTTTCCCTTTAAAAATAATTTTGGTCAAATTTAGGTAATTTAAATAATATAACAATGCAGTATTATTTTTACGTCCTTATTCAATCACTGAAAATGTAATAAGACAATAAATATTTGTATACTACTTACATTTAGCTTTTTATCATTCACAAGCCCAGTGGTCTATGCATCTGATAGGTCACTAAGATAAATATGCGAAAATTGACAAGAAGTAAATCATACTCAAAATGCCCATATTTTATGCAGAAATACAATTCAATGAAGACTCACTGGAAAACTCTATATTCGAGAATCCATAAGTCAAAAATATCAGATTTTGAGACAGTTTGATCAGACTATAATTTATGGATGACGCTGAAATAACCTTGAGAGTGTTCACCTAATAACTAGAACCAAATGAGGGTTATAAACCAGTGCGAGGAATTCAAATTATGATTTACAGTTGATGGTTAGAGTTAGGAATTAGATTTAGGGTTTTCATCACGAACTGACATCAGCTATAATAACAAAACTCTATTTAGCCAAATGGATGAGAGAATTTCGCGCCAAAATCCAAGACCTGTTATTTAATACCTGATTGGTTCGTCCATAAATTATAGTCTCGTCCGAAATTCTAGATTATTTCATGTTACAACTAATGTTACATTATCACGTTATTAGTAATAATAAAGTTCTATCAATCAAGTTGAAATGTGATCATTGAATTTAATTATTTGACACTTAAAAGTACACATCGTTCTATGTTTAGTGATTGGAAACAATCTATTTGAGTCAATGAACTTAAGTTTACTGATAGTATAATACAAACAATTTGAAGAGAATCTATATTTTACACAGTTCTAAAGTTGGAAATTTTCAAAATGAACTATTCAAATTGTAAGTGTTCACATTCGTGACTGAGATCAATAAGCGAAATTGTATAGTCTACACAAAGTTAATCGAATACGATAATGAATAAGAATGATAAATAAAATCCTATGGGGAGGGAAAACACTTGAATAATTAGGTTTTAGTGCTTGCCACAAGATTTAATGGTTCTGGTTTCGATTTTATACAAGGTCGATGAGGTGACGGTTTATTTGATGAAGTCGGTGGTTACTGTAATAATTTGGTCGAATTTCTGTAAGATGGTTTCATAAAACGAAATTACTGAACACCAGTACACGCATTTAATGTTAAATTTAAAATTATCATCTAGCAGTAACATTGAATGCTGAATTAAATATTCTATAAGGTGTAAAACATGGGGATTCAACAAGTTTATATATGACAGAATTAGGCAATAAAACTGAAATGAACATTGATGATGGGTCAACACATAGTATCTAATCCATATTGTCTTCACCATTAATAAGATAATCACAACCATCGTGTTGTAATTACAATTATCCTTGTACTTTTTCCATGTCGTCTTTTCAATTTCATTACAACGTAATTTCGCTGTAACGAGATAATTTGTGGTAAGTTGGATTCAAACGAGGTCTTTTGTTCTATATAACTGACTGATCAGTTTCCTATTGCAGCTACTAAACTAATAAATCAATATCACAGTCGATCGTACTTAATCATTTTTAATGATATTGGCTGAACGACGTTTTTAACCTACAGTCTATGATTACTTTCTACTTAACTCAAATAAAGTATTTGTTTCGTACAACCAGGTCCCTGAATAAATTTAAACAGATCAAGAACAACATGATTTGTAAAATAAAATAGATTTATACCATTTCACAGTTTCTCATCAGCTTCATCCAACCTAAAATTACAATTAATGACATAATTATTAACAAATCTTGATCATACTTCAGTTTGTGTTCGAAACGTTACCAAAATCATAATAATAGAAAGAATAGGGAGAAGGTGTATAAATAAATATAATTAAGATCGTTGTGTACTTACGTGCTGGAAAGTAGGGATTCAGAGGTTATGTACAGGTAATGAAATGAATAAGTGTTTGAGTAGACGATCAACATGATTAAATGCACAAATATGTAAACATCAATAAGATTATGTAGAAGATGAATATCAGAAAATGAAATTAAAAAAAGCGATAAAGATTAGGAACAGGGTTGAAATAAAAAGATAAAACGAAGTAAGACTGATGTTTTTTATCGGCTAATTTTTATAAATGCATTACTTAAACCTACTTCATTCACGCCTCTCAGTAGGTATCTGAGAATTACATTTGTAAAGATTTTATTTCATTTTAGGCGTAGCTTCCAAGGAATGTAATTAGAAGGCCTCAAGGAGGCCCTTCTCTCTATCGTCTCTATGTATTTGCTACTGAAGACACACGTAAATTTATATAAGCAGTTAAAGGTGAGATCGGAAGGGTATTAATTTAACTTTGAATGGTATAATGAAGACTAGATATTATATAGTGAAACCAGTTGAGCAGCAGGGAAGCTTATTTTCTGTCCTACCTTGACTCTGTTATTGATTGCTTTTGAAATCTCATCCGCTTGAAGGGAAGGCTGATGAAGACAGATTCCTTTCCAACAGTCGATTGTTTATTATCTTTGGGTTGTTATTTTCCGTACTTCGTAATAAGTTTCTTTGAATATCTATTTCTTATGAGATGCTTTACCGAAATAGCCAACTCTTCATTTGCTTTGTCGTTTGAACATAACATCCTAGTCATACTGAAGAGCGTTTGACCACACATCTTTTTATAACTGATACGATAAAATCTGTTACTTCAAATACTGTCTTATCTATGTCTCTTTCCTACACTCTATAGCTACATTGTTTTGATTGTAGTAGCTTTGTCTGTTCACTGTAAGAGAATACAAGCCTAGAATAATAGACTTTTCAGTACCTTGTAAATTACTAAACGGAATATGTCAACATTTCTCACGTTCCCAGTACTATGATGATGGGACAAAACAGAATTTTCTTTTTGTAACTCAGATTGTAGAATGTTTTGGTACATTTTAAAACAGCTTTTCATTGTGAGTTCCAGAAAATTTACTGTGCAAGAACAGTTGCATTTATAAATAGACGGTGATATCAAACCGTATCCATTTTACGCCAAGTAAAAATATAACCATAGAAGTAAGCGGACAACAGGGTCCAAAATGATTTATCTTTACACTTATAATAATACTTTCTTCATCTAATGCGGTCTGCCGGGTTTCAAAATATCATACCTTGTGGAGTGTTTCAAGCTAAATTCTAAAAATAACCACTATATATGTTATATTAAAATCCGGCACTTGATAACTCTATGTATGATGGTAGTTTTTCACATTTATTGTTCCTATATGTTTCTTATTAATTCAATACATTACATACAAAGATTGGACTTGAATAAACTTTAACGAATATAAACGCTTACTTTAAATATGCTCAAACGATAACGTGCATTATTTTCAACAAGTCAAGAAAAAGTTCGATAGAACTCAATAATATTGCATGTATTTGCTTTCAATCATTTACTTAAATGACAGCTTAAAAATCGAATATATATATATATATATATATATATATATATATATATATATATATATATATATATATATATATATATATTATATAATATATATATATATATATATATATATATTTATACATTTTGTTATATACATTTTGATATAAGTTATACATTTTGATTTAAAACACCAGATTAAATATCTTCATTATTTATACATACCTATACAGTGATAAAGCTGTTAAAATGTCAAAATATCAAATAGAAAAATAGTCAATAAAACTGTTGGAACTAATTTATTTTTATATCCAGAACTAAGCATCAACTTCATCAGTGTACTCATCATATTTCAAAATGATTAGTTAGAATATCAGAAATTCGGATAAGTGATCACATGTAGATTTACTTACTTACGCCTGTTACTCCTCGTGGAGGAGTATAGGCTGCCCACCAGCACTCCCCAACCAATCCTTTCCTGAGTAATCCTTTCCAGCTCTTTCCAGTTCTTATTCTTCCTTTTCATATCTAATTCTATTTCCCAACGTAATTTGTTCTTTGGCCTTCCTATTTTCCACTTCCCTTCAGGATTCCAAGTTAATACAGGCCTCGTGATGCAGTTTGATGATTTGCGTGATGTATATCCTATCCAACTCCGGCGTCTTTCCCTAATTTCCTCTTCAACTGGAAGCTGGTTTGTTCTCTCCCACAGTAGGTTGTTGCTGATGGTATCCGGCCAATGAATGTTTAGTATCTTGCGTAGACAACTATTTATAAATACTTGTACTGTTTCGATGTTGTTCGTAGTAGTTATCGAAGTCTCAGCTCCGTATACTAGAACTGTCTTGACGTTCATATAGAAGATTGTGACTTCGATATTGGTTGACAGTTGTTTTGAGTTCCACATGTAAATTTAATTATCAAAAATCATAATTCCCAATGATTATATATATAAGCATCCAAGATTACAAGCTATCACAGTTAATAAATTTTATTAGGTATATAAATGGATAGAGAAAAAAAATTATGTAGTTAATCGACTATAAATTAGACAGTCAAATAAAGGATAGTAAGTAATTAGTCAAAATGGAGCTTATAATTTGAATTCGGTCGAGGTTAGACATTAACGCCGTTGAATGCGAGCTCAAGGGTCTAGAGGTTAAGAGTTCGCGAGCGAGAATACAGGCCTTGGATTCGGATTCCGTGAGCGGGATCATGGATGCGCACTGCTGAGGAGTCACACAGTAGACCAAAACGGCCGTCCAGTGCTTCCAGGTTTTCAATGGTGGTCTAACACCAATCGGTTCATAATCTCAATCAAAATACTGATGTCCCGTATATTTTAATCAATTTGAAACATGTACAACCTAATGCACTCTTGATCAGTGATAATTATAAACCTTAGATGAAATGTTAGACCACCAATAGAGGCACTGGTCGGCTGTTTCGTCCTGGCTTGAGACTCCTCTCAATCTTGCGTGCGGATCGTCACATGCTTGGACGAAACGACAGCCTAGTGCTTCCAGGTTTTCAATGGTGGTCTAACACCAATCGCTTCATGATCTCAATCAAAAACATTGAACTAGATATTTAAAAAATATGCAGAAACAAATGTTAGATGAATATTCATTAAAAATGTACAAACAAGTTTAGCAATTGATGTTTGCTAATTATTCGTTTTGCACCTCTTCCTAACAATACTTAAATTTAGTAAATGTCCTTGATGGAATTAGTTTGTCTTTTGGAAAGTTAGCTTTAATCACTTAAACATCATTATTTTGATTTAATGATTACCTTGAGCTTTCTGATCACTGTACTGTACCAGTTATTTCCTAATTAAATTAAACGATACCATTGTATTCAAAGAGTAAATTATTTTAACCTTATGGAACAGAATTCTGAATATGTCTTAGACGTAACCAATAAAATGACACAAAGGGAGTTATGATGAATTTTATTTGAAGTGTTTCCCGTAGATATAAGTCAAGTCCAAATTGTTGTTTCGTTTCTGTGAAATTTATTTAAGGAAGTGAAATCTATAGATGACTTAGTAGTCTATGATAAAATTAGCATTCATACAGGTTTTGCTGGATATTAAATGTTAATTTGGTGTATGATTTCGGTTGATTCACATAAAAAACATCTTACTGACCCACCTGACTTTGAGACAAGTTCTTAGAGTTCTGGTAACAACTGCAAACGGTGGAGTTCACCCACACACAGTACATCTCTCTCATCAAAATACTTACAAACAATAAGTAGTTAATTCTGACCAAATATTTATTTACATATCTTATATGACTCAGTACATCGTTTAATCTGTAGGCAAATATGAATTATTCCTTACGATCACATACTAATACCGTCGTTTGAATCAGTGACTTAGCTGATTACCTGATAAATTTGTGACGAGTAAACTAGATCCTGAACGATGGATACAATGACTTTATCGACTTCTTTTTCCCAACATATGATTTAATCCATACGGTTGCCTGAGATTATATTTTTGTATGATTTTTATCTGTGCAAGTATACACGTTTTAGTGTTCTGAAGTTGCTTTCCTTGTTACCAGTTTAATTTTTCATACTCCACCAAGTTACTAAATATATGGAGTATGGTATGATTCAAGTTATTTATAGACAGTAATGGAAAGTATTCAGTTAATTTATAAAAAAAATTATTATTCATTATTTTAGGTTTAGGAGCTGCTCTTCTTATACAAAAATGGTACCGGCGTTATCAAGCACGTCTGGAAGTCAAACGAAGATGCGCTTGGATGATTTATCAGACATTAGAGTATGCAGGCGAACAAAATCATGCAAAGGTAAACCGTGTTATTATAGTTAATGTGAATTTACCAAATTGAAAGTAATGATGAACAAAACTCTTCACTTTAAGGTCTGTTTCTTTGAAGGTTACTTCTCTTCAATTAAGTTTTGCAACGATATGTGATAATAAATTTCATAAGTTATTTCTGAACAATGTTCTGTGTTTGTAGTTGAATCCCACAGTATATATGTTTGACATATTACAATCATTGTAAGTTCACTTTTCCACCTCGATACATAAATAAGTGAGAAAAGCTGACAGAAATTGGCTGCAATACGTTATATATATATATATATATATATATATATATATATATATATATATATATATATAATGTTTCGTTGGATGACCTTAAACAAATGAAACTGATATGCGATTTCATGCAAAATTATTACTCATTGTCGCTGTTGTTCGTAGTAGACTATTTTAATGGATTTTAAATTTGTTCTCTTAAGTGAATTGTGATGGATTTGATTATGTCTAAACTGCATTGTATTGACATAGGGAGAGAATTATGCCTTGTTTCCTAAATTATAAATAATGTACTCAACGAGTATATATTCAGTGATTGAAGACATAGGGTAACGTGGCTCAGAGTTGTTAACCATTGAATAAGTGCATTTACTACTTATCTTACGTTCGATCCTGAGTTTCAAAATCATATCATAATATATTTTTCGTTTGCCATTTCACTCTTTTTTTCGCAAATCATACTGTCTATATCTGGTCTCTTTACTACTTCTAATACCATCATTAATTCTACTACTGTGGAATTTATCTCGTTCATCTTATCTCGCTATACCGATACAGTTTGGTAGCTTAACTCAATGCACTTGGATGTTAGATTATATGTTGCACATGACTGATTGATCAAAACTCAAATATCTCACTTATAACCCATTTATTTATCCCATGTAACGTATGTGCAGCAAGATGAATCATTGCTTAGAATGTATAGTCCTAGTAAGCTGCTTATGAAAATCAAATCCCCTGTCTTTTACGCTCGATGTTCTATTATACAATGTGAAATAAATCCATTTTTCATGTATATCACTAAATGAAATGAACTACTCTTGGTATTTTATAGTTTGGGGTTAAGGACTTGCTGCTAGATAAAAAGAAATAACTTGGATTCAATACTCAGTATGGTCGTGGATCCGCACAGCTGACAAATGTCATACTGAGAAGAAACAGCTGTCCATTGTTTTCAACGGTTGTCTAAATATGATCAGTTCCCATGTAAACCATAAAATTTGATCAATTTGTAATGAAGTACGATCATCATCACTTATTTATGTATTACATTAATTTGTTAATTTTAATTAGTTTTTCTAATAAACTTTCAATTTGTAAAATTTATTTTTTATTAAATTTTCCTCACATTTCATGATTACAATGAATCATAAAAACAAAATGTAAAGCTATACGATCTATTTCATGATCTTATATCACACGCATCCAGTGGAGAAACAGGAAACACCGATGTTAATTCTGACTGTCCACATAGTCCAGGTAAGATAAAATTCCTTTGATAGTTCTAAAGGATTCTACTGAAAAATAACTGAAATATAATTTCTTCTTTCTAATTTACTCATTATTTAAATTATTTCTTATGAAACCAATGACTAAGAAATATCGAAGAAAATCTAAGACACTAATTCAAACTTCAAAATTATTTACTTTATCTACATAAACTCATTGAAACCGAGTTGATTTATGTAGAAAAATCAGTGATGATCATTATTTACCTACTGATTTTGTAGTATTATAAAGAATATATATATTTCAATAGTTGAGATCATGAGTCAATCGAAGCTGGACCACCATAGAAAACCTGGGTTCGAATCCCGCGAGGCGGGGTTGTGGTTGTGCACTGCTGAGGAGGCCACAATCAGACGAAACGGCCGTTCACTGCTTCCAAATTTTCCATGATGGTCTAGCTTCAGTTTACTCATGATCTCAACTACTGAAATTACTACAATCTCGACAAAACCCCTTCATATATATATATATATATATATATATATATATATATATATATATATATATATATATATATATATATATATATATATGTTTCCAGTTATTGGTCTACACTTATACACAAGGTTTATAAGAAACTTTGCCAATTAATTGCGGTAATTTTACTAAACGGGGTTGGAAAATCAAAAATATTCCTTGCTTATCACTTATGGCTATATCGAGGCTATCCACACAAGATGTATATATGTCAATAAGAAACTGACCAATTGCAACTCTAAATAAGAATGGGCAGATATAAGTAAAACAATACCAAGGAATTTATACTTCACCCCATCGCACAAGCTAATGGCTATCAGGACTTAGTAGCTATATGCATAACGCGATGCCGTTTGAAGTAAACGGTACTGGATTCGAGTCCCAGAGTGAACATCAGTTCTCGGATGTAGGTACATCCGGCTGACGAGTCCCAAATAGGATAAAACGCGCATTCTTTATTCCACAACTAGCCACTATTCATCTTTCGTGAAAAAATAATCCTAAAAAGCTATCTCAAAATTAACTTGAAGGTGATTACAAACAGAGTGACAATTATGTGCATTCATATTAATTAGTAAATAAATCATTGTGTACTGTTAAATTATATACAGATCACATAATAGAATTACATTGTAAAAATCTTATTCACAGATGAAGCATTAGCAATAATTATGTAAGAATCTACAAATAGAAAGTATGTTTCAAATAAATAAATCACAGATGACATGTTTACCTTATAGGTTAGATTAGTATGATCTTTATTGATAATTAACTTAATAATAAGACTGTACAAACTTTTGAAAATAAACATAGTATTAGGATTATCCTTTGTTACAAAATGTGATACTTATAGGCTTGATAATAAATGTATCTAATTATACATCAATACATCTACATATACAGAAGCACTTTGATTGGTCATAGGATATCATGGAAGGGAAATGAATAACTCACTACACTTAACAATATCTGAATAGAATTCATAATTGATAATCTACACCCCCAAATGCCATGGTCCGATCGACAGAGGCGAGTTGGTTCTACCGCTTGAAATGCTCTCATATGGCCACGCATATATATATATATATATATATATATATATATATATATATATATATATATATATATATATATATATATATATATATATATATATATATATATATATATATATATATATAATGATCTTAACCATTGAAATTATTATAATATCCACAAAACCCATCTGATATTAATCAACATGTACTCACTAGTGACTGGCTTCACGAGGTATATCCTGGAGTTCTAGTGAGAAGTAGTGACCAGTGGAGTTTAACAAGGTCTGTTGTGAGATAGTAACGCATTGAAAACAATGGTGGATGTGTCACTCAATTTCGTGGATTAGTTGAAGTTAGACATTAACACCGTTGGATGCCAGGTCAGTGGTCTAGTGGTTAAGTGCTCGCGCGCGAAACCAGTTGGTCCTGGGTTCGAATCTCGCAGAAGGCGAGGTCGTGGATAGGCACTGCTGAGGAGTCCCATACTAGGAAGAAACGGCCGTCCAGTGCTTCCAGGTTTTCCATGATGGTCTAGCTTCAATTGACTCATGATCTTGACCATTGAAATTACTATAATATCCACAAAACCCATCTGATATATATATATAGACAAAACCAAGGCTTTTTGTTCGATTTAAGTACTAGATATACTTATTGTAGACAGTAAATCTTTTAAAACACTATATGAACTAATCAACAATAACAATACAAAACTGATTGTGAAAAAATTTCCTTTTATTATCTTAGATGTAAGATTTTTAACGATTCCAGAAACTGGTAAGCATTGCTTATATAACCCACCTGTTGTCAAAACATTTCAATCATGCATGTGGATTACTTAATTCATTCAACTTTCCATTCTTATTCTTTATTAGCTAATTATTATTGCTTTGTATCAGTGATTAGCTTTCTTTATACATAAACAATAAATCTATTGGGTGCTTTCATTTTAACGATTATGAGTGTGACAGCAATTTACCTTTATTGTATGAATGTAATTGTGTCATTAATATTATTATTATTGTTATTTGAAAATCTTATTTTTTATAATACTGTTTGTCGATTATCAGTAAAAACAATCATACCATACAAAGTTGATCTGAGTATGACTTTGAAACTAGGCATATGTTGAAAATTTCTGGGTGTAATTGGAATACGTATACTTGTTACACTTTCCTTGACAAAATAACAACCACGAACAATATTGACAACAGCGGAATGTATATATTACTTACTTACTTACGCCTGTTACTCCTAATGGAGCATATATATACTAAAGTAGTCGTGTTCCATTGCCCGTTTAACATTTTTAATGGAGTGAGTTCTATGAATCGAGTGATGTTATCATGTATCTATCATTGTCTTTCTGATCAACCGTTTCATCGTAAACTTCAGATAGAAATAAGCTTATCGAATTTCTTTTACATATGACTAACAGCTTATTCTGTCAATCTTGAATTCAATTGGCTGTTAAAATTAAAATTTACTTTCAAAATAAGTTTGTTAATTTTCTTCCGAAAGGTAAAATTAATTTGTAATGATGTATTCTAATGGGAATTCTATGTTATACTAAACATATAATACTAAATAAAGCGATTAACAATAACAATAGATGATAATTGCTATCATCCAATTTGATATATAAATCTTCAGATTTGAAGAATGCATTTTATCAACATACAGAGATATCAGGTAAAAAAAAGCCCTCGAAAACCATACATTACTGGACAGTGACTACGTTATGATGTGGATTGGATTTTATTAATAATCTGATATAAATAGTAACATTAGATGTACAGAACAAACATGTCATAAAATAAAGTTTTAAGTATACTAATTCAGTAATTGTTTAGGTAGTACATGTATTACAGTGATCCAATGAATCAGCCGGGAATTTTTAATATTTCTTAAATGGACAGCCTGTTGATTTATGAACGGAGTAATTAAGGTCTTTTCGTGTGCCAGATCGAATTAATGATAATTATCTACAACTTGAGAAATTAAAACGAAAACAGCGAGCACGGGACAACAAAGCAGTAATTACCAAAATATGTCAATCAGGTCTAACAAAATGCATGTGTCATGAGACACAGTGATATACTGTTGATATTATTCAAATTAGTTAAACCTTCTGGGGACGGTGTTAACATAAAGTGACAGCAAATAGTTGGATTTACTTAGGGAATGCACTAATAAAGATGGTTAAACATTTAAAGTTCCTATAACATCACTTGTGGGATGAGATACACTTACAGGTGCTAGAACATTCAATGCATTTTCAGAGGAGCAGTATGCATCGATGCAGCGAACAAGTAATGGGAGTGATTTTATCGTACGGATGGATTGTGGTAGGTTATTCCAGAGTCTAGAAAATTTACAGGTGAAGTAATTCATATAAAGAGATGATTTAGAATAAGTTTGTTTCACTAGTGCCAAGCAATTATGGATATTATGATGAGAAGTTTCTGTATATTGAATCACGTGGTTGGATGTAAAGGATAGTTTATTAAGTAGTTTGAAGAAAAAGATAAGATTTAGTTTGAGTCTCCACCTCCATAAAGGATCTAGCCCAAGTTTATTACATCTAGAACTGTAAGTTAAGGTACAATCAGCTCCAAGAATACGAAGTGTAAATCGTCTCTGTACTGATTCCAGCCTTAATTTATCCTTTATGCGCGCACTGCTGAGAATAAACGTGCAATATTCTAGAAGAGGTCGAGCACAAACCTTGTAAATTATATAACAGTCTTTGTGTCGTTTCCTCAACCAAAATCACTTGAATTCATTTCAACTAATTAACAAACTTTGCTAACAATTTCCTTACTCTACGTATCCAGCTTACCACTTAAAATAACTTTAGAGAACAGCTATTTAAATTCCTAATAATTAGATAAATTTTATAAAAAAAATATTATCTAAGCTAGATCTATGTACACGAGGTCGGATAACCAGTTTTACAATGTATTTGTTATTACAAAAGAGTTACAATCAAATCATTATTGATAATGCAATATTATCATAACAAAGATTTACAGGTGAAGTAGTGGAGTTGTATATATTGAACTTGATGGTTTAAAGCTCCTCAAAAACCTTATATACCTCAGAGAACATACCATCATCATAATTCGGTGTTATATGGGAATATATTTTGATATATTTCTCAATTGATAAATTATACTTTATTTATAATTTTTATTGATATTAGACATTGATGAACCGTTAGATTTAAATATTTGGAATGGTGATTGGTTACCATCAATACCGTCAAATTATCAAGGAATAAAGTTGTACTTTCCCATAGATATGAATCAAGTTGCCATGATGATGGAATCATTTGTTAATGGATATGTAAGTATTGTATATTTAATATCAAATGTGAAACTGATAATTATTTATAATACATAACCAGTTATGATAATTATCAATGCCAAGGTTGGACTTCATAGTTTCAGATAACTTGAGCATTGTGTAGAAACGTAGTAATAAATATATTTTTGTTATATTCAAATAAGTAGAAAAATTGTATTTCAGATGTTTTGTGACTTTATAAAGGCCACTTTTTTTCAAAGTGAATGAATAACCGAAATAAATTAACACAAGTTTCAATAGTATAAACTTTATATATATATATATATATATATATATATATATATATATATATATATATATATATATATATATATATATATATATATATATATATATATATATATATATATATATATATATATATATATATATATATATAGTGAAATTCATTGAGCCATTAAGCCAGCTATTTGAAGACAGTTCAAATCTTTATTTTTGTGTACAAAGGGCCGATTCAGACGGTATTTTCTATTTCTGTAAGTTGTTTAATATGTAACATGAGATTTTGTAGAGTTACCAGTTACATAATTAGGGTTCATTTTTCATTCCCTTTATATCAGACTGATCACAGTCATGATATTTCTTTAATTTTCTTCAATTTTCTGTTCATGTTTAATAGTACAATTTGGTGATGAATTTCAAATGTTGTTTAGTTGTAAATGATGGACAGAAGCTATTATTTTGATAAAATCATTAAATTTCCTATTCATCCCTAACTAATATTTCAAGCCTTAAAGAAAAAGTGACTGAAAGTAGGTAGATCGGTCATACATATCTTTAAAATGGCTCAACATTTTTTATAAAAACCCACACTCATGTTTATTATGAACTTTCAGAAAATAACCAATTTCACACCTAAAGCATGAACAATAAATCTCAAGGGAATTTAATTATGAATTATTTAATCCTAATGTAATTCTTACATCATAAAGAATCAAGTCAGTAAATCTTAGAGCAAGTATTTTAAATATTTCTACCACAGAAGATTATTCACAACTCTTTAATAATATTTCAGACTGTGTAGCTAAGAAACCTGTTTTTCAAATCAACCAGGGAGGGGGGCGGGTAACATTTCTCTCAATGTTTCAAATACACTTAATTGATAAATACCAACTAACATGAAATCAAAGTCAAAAGTTTCGCATCGACTACTTTCAATTATCTAACATAATTACAATAGCTTAAAACTATCCATTAATAATCACATAACTATTATAAAAAAAGATGTTTATAAAGACTGGTTCAACGGGAACTGACAAAAATGAACGTAATAATTAATCTTTATAGGCATTTCAAAACTAATCCTTAGTTTTCATAGAATTTATTCACTAAAAACAAAAAGGTTAACCATATTGAATACTGAGAATAAAAAAGACAACCTTCTCATTCATAATTTCACTACTACATTTCTACAATCTAGACCTATTTTCTAATATAATCTCTATTTATTCACATAATAGATAAAAGACATTCTTTATAAATTTAACTATTCAGTCATTGAATGTAAATAAAAATAATAAAACGTTAACTATTTAACTTATTAGGCGTGATCCTAATTAAGATACCATCTGAACTATTACTGTCCATTCTTTTTCGAAAATTTTTCTCTTTTCTTTTTGAATTCATAATTATTATAAATATAAATTATAAGGGAGAAAATAAAAAAGTAGTTTGCGTGATAATTGAATCCAGGGAAAATTGTCCCATTCTATTATAAGTAAATATATACCCCAAAGGACAAACATTAAATCAATTAATTAGCTGAAATTTTGTGTTTGAATCTCTTTTTTTTTGAAAAAAAAATGTTTATTTTGAATGGTTATATGGAAATAAATATGCCTTATTATAAGTGTATTTATTAAAATCTACCTATTTTCTTTTACATTAAATCTCCTGGCTATATGTTTGAATTAATGTAGTATACTTGTTAAGGGTTTTGTGGAGATTGTGGAAATTGATAATTTACTTCATAAACTAACCTTTGTTTGAAATATATATCCCACAATAGAAAGAAACGGCCGTCCAGTGCTTCCAGGTTTTCCATGGTGGTCTAGCTTCAATTGACTCATGATCTTAACTATTGAAATTACTATAATATCCACAAAACCCATCTGATATTAATCAACATGTACTCACTAGTGACTGGCTTCACGAGGTATATCCTGGAGTTCTAGTGAGAAGTAGTGACCAGTGGAGTTAACAAGGTCAGTTGTGAGATAGTAACTCATTGAAGACAATGGTGGATGTGTCACTCATTTTCGTGGATTAGTTGAAGTTAGACATTAACACCGTTGGATGCCAGGTCAGTGGTCTAGTGTTAAGTGCTCGCGCGCGAAACCAGTAGGTCCTGGGTTCGAATCTCTCAGGGGGCGAGGTCGTGGATGGGCTCTTCTGAGAGGTCGCACAATAGGTCGAACCGGCCGTCCAGTGCTTCCAGGTTTTCCATGTTGGTCTAGCTTCAACTGACTCATGATCTTAACCATTGAAATTACTATAATATCCACAAAACCCATCTGATATATCAATGAATGTTTACTCAATGATTTAAAACAGAGCAATCTCAGCGAAAATTAAGTGTTTTGCTTTTGATCCCCAGAAAATTAGGGGATACACAATGTTGAAGAGTCCTTCACTATGATAGTTATCTTCTACTTCCTGCCTTTCAATAAGTTTTATTAAGGTCATCTCATATAACCATAAGGTTATATTATTGTCGATATTCAAATGATGTATTCATTTCTACATAATATAAAATGTAGAAACTTGCAAACTAAGATGTTTTCTAGCTTATACGTTAATACACTCGATCATGAAGTACATAAATCTGCCTAGAGTGATGTAGACATTTTATTAAAAAATAATTTGAATGTCACTCATGCTTTTAGTTCTACAGTTCCTGAATTCTATGGTGTATTTTGAGAGATAGACCGGCAATCTATTTACAAGAACATTCATTTTCATTTTAACTCTTGGACATAACTAAATGAAATTAGAAAATAGATCTGACCAATTTTATTTGGCTAGAATTTTGATAATCTTATGGCTTAAACTAATTTCGTGTACCTAGAAATGAATATTTAAAAAATATGGGATGGTTGATATAGTTCATTTGAGTTATCAGGCATGAATACACTCAGTTCACAGTTACAAATGTTTATTTTATGTCGGTAGAAAATATAGTGATAACTGTTGCTAGAAAATATCAAATTGTGAGCCCGATTCAGTTGATTTTTAAGAGATTTATTCTGCCTTTATTTTAGCACCGCAATTATTTACATCAACATTAGATTGTGAGTATAGGGGTTGTGGAGATTGCTAAGTTATTTTGATTGCGATCATGAACCGATTGATGTTAGACCACCATTGAAAACCTGGAAGCACTGGACGGCTATTTCGTCCTTTTGTGGGACTTCTCAGCAGTGCGCATCCACGATCCCGCCACGGGATTCTAACCCAAAGTCCCCAGTCTCGCGCGTGCGAACGCTTAACCAACTGGACCACTGAGCCGGCATCTAATGGTGTTAATGTCTAACCTAAACCAATTCACGAAGTCGCGCGACCATCTTCTATTGCACTGAGGTAGACACCTGTTTCTACCCGACACGGATTAGCTCCACTAGTCACGGCTTCCCACCAGAATTCCGAAAATTCCCTCACGAAGCTAGTCACTAGTGATCACATTGTAGTTATCATTATAGGTTGTGAGTTTATTGATCATTCTATCATTTGAAGTCACCTGTGTGATTTCGTCCTTGTATATCTACTAATTAGAAAAAATTGGAAAAAGTAACAACTGGTTTTCACATATTCTATCACGGATTGATCTTAGTTAAATAACAATTGAATACCAAAAAGCACTGTCCAGTTGTTTTGTTCTAGTTTGAAACTTCTGAGTAATGCCCATCCGCAACCGCGAAAGGAGCCAAACTCAGTACCTTCAATTTCTCACGTTAACAATAAACTTCTGGACTACTGAGCCGACATTCTGCAGAGAGATTGAGATTCCATGGTTTGGTTAATTGAGAACTTGCGAATGAGTACTGCTAAGGATTCCATACTAGAACGAAACAACTTTCTAGTGCTTCCTGGTTTTCGATCTCCGTCTAATTAAGTACAACACATAATGCAATGTATTCAAATCCAATGATTTCTACAAACCTCCAACGTCAACAATAAATAACTCTCAAAGTGTTTAATGATTCAAATAAAAAAAGCTTCTTATATACAGAAAGTAGAAAATAACATAAGGTGATGAGAATTTATTTATTACTTTATAACAAATGGTGAATTTAAAGCAACAGTCAATCATGACGTTAACTGATTTTTAATATTTCATAGAAACAGTCCGTTTTCTCATCCCAAGTCAGCTTTCGCTCAACATAACACATGTCCATATTAAACTATAAAAGTCTAATAAATAACTTTGAGTTTATCAACGCCTCATTATTATGCAGTAACAAAATCCGCACTGTTGATGTTTACTATCAAAAATAAATTGATTATACTAAACCCATATTTCGATTATTATCATAGTAATTAGGTTGACTTGTTTATTTTGAAAGTGTAAAATACTTTTAAGTGTCTGAAGATTTATTATTTAAGATGTGACATCATCGTAAACAAATAACTAGCTAATTAATTATCCGTAAGCTGAAATATTCATTTATCATGTCGGAATATCTAACATAATGAAGTCAGATGTCATGAATTAAACACTAATAATTATAAGCAAAGATTGATAGTGGCTAGAAGTGGAATCCAGGACGCGTGTTTCGTCCCATTTGTGACTCTTCATCTGGATATACCCGCATTTCAGAGTTCATGTTCACTCTGGGACTCGAACCCAGTGCCATTCTCTTCAAAAGCTACCACGTTAACCACTTAGTTACTGAGTCCTGATAGCTTGTGCAATGGGGTGAAGTTTGAATCCATTTGGAGTTGTTTAATCGAAACTTCTCATTGATGTTTAGGACAGCACAAGATGCATATATGTTAATTAGATACTGATCAATTGCAGTCCTAAACATCAATCAGAAGATTCAAGTAAACAATACTAATACTTATGCTTGAAGATTCTCAGTTTACTTTCAAGTAATCTTGATGATTATTGCCTGACAAAACCCCTATTTTATATATATATAACAGGAGTTCGTCAAGCAATTAGTCGTATTTCATTTTATTATTACTGTGAAAGTATTTTACATGATCACAATGCAATAAAAAATATTTCCGTCCACCTCGTTTTTCTTTTCTCATGGCTTCTGTGTGCAATATTTCAACTACAAATTATGTTTTTGATTGAGATCATGAACCGATTGATGTTAGACCACCATTAAAAACCTGGAAGCACTGGACGGCCGTTTCGTCCTATTTTGGGACTTCTCAGCAGTGCGCATCCACGATCCCGCTCACGGGATTCTAACCCAAGGCACCCAATCTCGCGCGTGCGAACGCTTAACCAACTGGACCATTGAGCCGGCATCCAATGGTGATATTGTCTAACATCAACCAATCCACGAAATTGCGCGATCGAAGGTCCTGGGTTCGAATCCCGCAAGCAGGATCGTGGATGCGCGCTGCTCAGGAGTCCCACAATAAGACGAAACTGCTGTCCAGTGCTTCCAGGTTTCCAAAGGTGGTCTAACATCAATCGGTTCATGATCTCAATCTCCACAACCCCTATACTAGTAAACAAATTATATGATTGAAGTATTGATAACTACGAAAGATTTCGTCTCTTAGTGGGACATTCTTCAGAGTAATTCATTTTACTTGATGAATATATTTTAAAAAAAAACTAATTTGTCCGTTTATATTTTTAATTTGTGGTCATTGTCATACTACTGAAATTAAAAACGAAGACTATGAAACTAAATGCAATTTAAGTAGATCGGTATAAAATGTTTCAATACATGTTATATCATATAGTCATAATATTGACTTGAGTCCTGGTACATAACTTTTTATAATGCTAACCTGTTTTATTAAAGTTTACTGACAATAACCCGGAAATAAATTTTACTGGTGATCTAACATCGATCGATTTATGATCTCAATGAAAATTTAACAATCTTTACAACCCTATACTGAGAAATATGGTTACTAGTTCAAGTGACTCACATAGCGCGCACTATGTTTTGACCTTCATTGATAAGTGACAAGAACTCATGAAACTCGGTATTGTGTTATTTGACATTTATCATCAAGATTTACCTATAATCTTGAGGAATCTGGTGGTACCAAATACGCGTCACCAATTTTCTCAGTCTCAGTTGTTACTACCAACCTATTCATATTGATTTGGATGTTTACATACTAGTCGAATAAACAAATTGTTAACCAGGTTTTCTAACATGTGGAAAACAAATATCATAGGGATGACCTAGTCTATTCATTTTATTTATATCATCAGTTGTTGACTTTACATTCTGTAGTTCTATTTTCGGAGTGATAACGAAGAAATCAATCACATTTATTTGATAGAAGTAACTTATTACATACACATATTTGAAAGATTTAGTTGTCTTTTTAATCAAACTTGTTTTTGATTTTATAAGAATAAGTTGGTATCTAAATACAACACATCGGTTTAACCATTCAGAATAAAAAAAGGGTAATGATCAAAGATTAGCAAACTTTTTATTGCCTCTTTTAATTGATATTTGGTTTGTTTGTTTGTTTTGTTTTGTTTTCTCATTACATTCACACCCAAATTAGTGATTTTATTTAAAACTAAACATTATGGTATGATTGATATATTGCCTTGACCTAAAATGTTTCCAAAGGTTCACGTTTCAAGATGAATATATTCTACCTTAATGTAAGCAAGTTCATAGTTGAAGTTTACATTCAGTACCTTTGTAATAAAGTCTGTAACTCGTAATAATATCAACCATTTGAAAATTTAAGGATAAACTTTATTGAAAACAATACCAGCAAATGAATACCTTGGAAACCAAGGAGTACCGAACAAATTTTATATTCTAGTGAAATATTTTTCCGTAATTCCCACAAACGATCCCAAGTCAACTAGTTAAAAAGTAGGGCCAGACACATATATGCATCGGTCCAAGTTGCTATACCTCATTAGCACAGCAAGACAAACACCGGATTCATATAAGCAGTTAACTCAACGATGTAATATATAAAAGAAAGGTTTTATGTAAGGATATAGTACAGAAAGAAAAATATGAATCGATTTTAATCTCATAGTTTAAGAGAAGATAGAGAGTGTATACACCTACACCATTGTGATCGATTCTGAGTCATGTCACTCAGAGTCTCCTGAACAAAATACAAAATCCAGGATTTTCATAGTTCATGAGGTCCATGATGCTTAAACCACTGAATTATTATCTAGTATTGAATTACGGTTTCATTGAGGAGTTACTTTCAATTGTCATAATTAGTAAATACAAATTTATTATTAATCACCTAGTTTGTAGAGATATGTTTAATTTATGCATAATTTTTATCCCGGAACTATTCTCAACTAGAAAGCTCTATAAAAGTCATAACTAGAACTGCTTTGAATACTTTCTGATTCACTAATTATGTCATACTGAACACTAAAATCAACATGAACAGAAATTTATGCAACAATCAGATAATAATCATGTATTCGTAATTGTCTAGTCCTATGGTGAACTTCCTGAAGTTTTTAACAGAAAACTATCACTTGTACAATCAATTTATGATATACAATCACGAGATGGTGGATATGTATCTAACTGTCAGATGTTTCCATAGTTTATTCAGATTCCAATTTCAGGATTATTTGTTTGTTTTTTATCCATTAATGCATTTTCAATAATACCGTTGAACAGTATTTTCCTTCTTTTTAATAATAATGATGAATATATCATCATAAGCTAATTTATATTATTTAGCGAAATATCATCATTTTTAATGAAATCCAATTGTTATTATCATTCAATATCATACTGCTGAAACAGTTCAACCGTATGGCTATATGACATCATATTAAGTAGCTTAGATCGATTTACTTCCCAAACTTGACATTGATCTGTTACCTAAAATTTGACAAAGTTGATTTCTTTTGTTATTTGAAGAAACAAGATAAATTTAATAGCTATGTCATACAATGCTTCCAGCGCATTAGTGGTTCTGTAGTGAATAAGAACACACATGAAGGATAACCAAATGTATTTGAATACGAAATTACAGAGTTATTTGGTAAATTGTGAATACCATACGCTCAGTACTTCATTTGCAGAATGTTTATTATTTGCATCCGACTTTGTTGTTCCTTCAGTTTCATAGCCATCACTCTCTGTTTCCGTTCTCTTCTACTTGATCTTCGCAAACTTCTACTGCTAGGTATCCCAATTTCGATTGATGTTATATGCTACTTACATCTGTCAACATAAGTGACACACTCCACAATGCTACACAAGAATAAACCCATTAGTTTCAGGTCCTTTAATGGGCATAAAGCTCTATCAATTACTGATGTTTGAATCTAGCAATTCACATTTTTCAACTTTGGTTAGTTCAAAATAAAGCGAGACGATTCAATACTGTCGTTTAGTCATTATATGTTTCAGCAAACCCCTATATGAATCAATTTATTTTTCAATGAGGAAAACGTGACTACTAAATGTGTATTATTGTGCTTTTAAATCATGTCGTATTTATTTTTCTTCGCATAATTATTCACTCCTGTCAATGTACATATTTTGGATAGATTTGTGTGTTGATAGATATGTCCTTTACTGATTTATCTTATTCATCGTCCATTTGAACTATACTTAAACCCAAGCAATAATACACAAACTGATTTTGGCAAAGATGTCTAATTTATAATCCATGAATTCATTCACTCGCATGACCTTCATGATCATGAGGATGCATGATTTATAATATTCTTGGAACACTGTATACGACCTCGTATTTTACGTCTTTGTTGTATTAGCTAAACAATTTTCAAACTTAAGTATGACAAACGAAACAAATCCGAGAACAAAAACTACTGAAGTCACATAGATATTATAATATCTAACAATATCCCATAACTTTGTACTTTAATATTAAAAATCTACCTTTACTCCCCTATGAAAACAATTATTTTTCTGATAATATTTTCAGCAACTTCACGCAAGATATGTATTTCAAATTTTATGCGAATCCAGACAATGTATCATGTCACGTCCAAATATTCAAATGGCATCAACATCAATATCTCGACATATTACCGTTGTTGGTGACCTACATGGACAATATAGTGATCTTCAAATTATTTTATATAAAGTTAGTATGATGTAGATAATCTCACTGTAACTAATGCTTTAAGCATATCGATCTGTTCTAGTCAATTTTTTTCATGAATGGTATCAATGAAAAGATGAAATAATCATAACTGAAGTAGTCATAATAGTTAGTTAGGATTCTGTAGACTACTTGGACTATATTCAATAGAATAGTAGGATCAAATATAATAGAAAATTTGTGATCTTTTGAAATCACCATTTTGTTTAGATGTACAACTTAATTTTTCATATAATGATGATAAAGATCTTCAGCTCATTTGAATGCATTTGACGTTGTATTCTCTGACCTAGATGATTTAATTGTTCTGAACAACATCATCAACGTCTACTTCATTTAAAAGTTAATTTTTCAGTTGTTCAATATGTGTTATATTAGTTTATAATGATCTTCCTGATATAGCATTCAAAAAGCACTATTTTTTATATTAATTTGATTACACACGGAAACAACCCCACAACAATTTATGGATATCGTAGTTGCTTTTCCCAAGTGAATCAGTTCCCATAATTATTGAACTGGACGTGTTTTTGTAATGGTAAACCATAACAAATCACATTCATACCACTATCAAAATTGATTTTTATACTGTCAACGTTCTTTGATATATTGACTTAAGAAGTATTCATTACATATATAAATGTCCTATAGAAACGTGGTTTATTCTCTGTCTGATGTACATATATTTTTGCCTTATATCCATATTGTTTTAGAACGGGATGCCAGAAGTAACGAATCCTTACGTATTCAATGGAGATTTTGTTGATAGAGGTAGAAAATCTGTAGAAACATTATTAACTATCTTATGTTTAATGTTGGTTCGACCAACTTCAGTATTTATAAATAGAGGCAACCATGAAGATCTTTATGTAAACTGTCAGTAAGTCATAAATGTTTAGTTATTTAATTGTCGTTATCAGTGACTAGGTAGTTAAAAGTATTATACGAAGATTACTTGAGTCATGAACTAAATAACCACTGCTAACCAAAGGTACATGGTAACTGCTCTGTACTTTTAAGTGTAGTACTCAAATTCGTGTACTCACAATCTCTCCACGGATTAAAACTAGGACTCTCGAGTCTCTCAGTGAGCTTTTTGTCCTTTGATCACTTGATTAAAATAAAAAATCCCACATTTCTAACCTCAGCCACTTCGCGATAGTCTCATTGCTCCAATGTATAGAGCTCCTGGATCCGATCCCTATTCGACTCGTAGGTGTGTCATGCTACATGATCTCATAATAAGACGAAACGATCTCTATCTCGTTAAGATCAGTCCGCGATGCAAACTCTATCCAGGTTGATCAATTTCAACAAACCTCCTATCATAATAGTAGTATGACTGTTTAGGAATCATGTCTCCCATTATCATTTAACATGGATAAAAAATCCTTGAGCCATGAAGTTACAGGTTTATCTGAATTATTGATGGAAATACAAATATGTTTCAAATAGTCAGTTGACTTGTAGCTAGACAAGTGTTTGTTCAATATTTTCGCCTTAATTCTTTCACTAGTCATTCATTCCGTAACCTTAGTTCAATTTTTGTCAGTTATTAATATTGGTCTTTAATAATAGCGCTTACTAGTTGAGCTAGATCACTTGGTTAACGTACACAATAATCGTCATTAGTTCTTGAGAAATATGGATGCGTTTAATTCTATCTGAGTCCCTTCAGTTGTGTGCCAGCATCTCAGTGCTGATGTCTACATAAGGACTATGACCCAAAATATTTTTTGCTCTAAATAATAACACGTCATCTACTGAGTTTTTGAGTTTCGATAGTTATTAACTTGTTTAACGCGTGTAAAATTATTAGCAAGGGTTTAAACTTTCCTGATTTTTGAGGTGCATCTGTCTGATGAGTCCCCAAAAAGATGAAATATGCATTTTGAATTTTATTGCTTTTAATCGTTTACTAATTCTCTTCAGTTACTTTACTGATCCAGAAATTATCGAGACCCTTATTCAACTTTTTCTGTTTAGATTGGACCTATTTGCAACATCAAATGTAGACCACATTTCTATCATAATCTTGATCTAAATAGATAATGAATTGATTTTTTAATTGTTATCTGGAGAACGGTGAAATTTCTCTTTACATTTTTCATCTTTAAATATTTTCAATTTCTTTTTTCTCTTCTAGATATGGATTTATAAAGGAAATTCAAAAGAAGTATAAAGTAAGCATATATGAAACTGGATACATCAGTTTATTCCTGATCTACTATTGTTGTTGTTGTATACGTATCTTCAGAATTATTATTTCATATTATATCATTCAGTCACATAATAGCTAATCAAGTTTCTTTTCAAATAGCTCAAATAACAATGTATAGTTTAACGTTTTTATACCATAGTGGACATCAACTCTGAGATGCAGACACATCTAGCTGACAAGTCCCAACTAGGACGAAACACGCGTCCTGGATTCCACTGCTAGCCACTATCCATCTTTACTGATAATGATAAGTTCACCTACAATGTTATATGTGTAACTAACGAATATACTAAATGATGATTTTATAACCATTAATGAGTTTCAAATAAATTGTTGTCAGCTATTAAGAAAGACAAAAAAATAAACCTTGAATATGAAAATATATGCTCACAGGCTGGTATGTTGCATAATTATTTTAACGAGATTGCAATCAGAAAGCTTTGAAAAACCAACAATCTCCCTAGAATTACTAAACTCTAACATTTATCAGTACTTTATGAAGAAATACTTTTGATGTATTCAAACCCTCTAGTTATTTGTTAAAAAAGGACTTCACATTCAGATCTTCTTTTTCGGAGAAACTCCCTAATTCATTCTTAAACGTATAATTTTGCTGAAAACTATTGTTCCATATACTTGTGGTATAAATTAATAATAAATGCATTTCATTATTATAAATAAAATAACATCAATAAATAAATTAAAGTCTATAACAAATTCGTTGTTATTTAAAATTCTATAACAACTTAAAACTTGTCTTTCAACTTTAAACACTCATCCAATACATTATGTTATATTAGCAAATTACTATTCGCCATCAAATGTGATGGCGAAACTCTGGAATCCTTTACGTACCTGGGAAGCATCATCGATAAACAAGGAGGATCAAATGCAGACGAAAAGGCGAGGATTGGCAAAGCAAGGGCCGCATTCCTACAATTGAGGAACATATGGAACTCAAAACAACTGTCAACCGACGTCAAAGTCGTAATCTTCAATACGAACGTCTAGACAGTTCTAGTGTACGGAGCTGAAACTTTGATAACTACTACGACCAACATCAAAACAGTACAAGTATTTATAAATAATTGTCTACACAAGATACTAAACATTCATTGGCCGGATACCATCAGCAAAAACCTACTGTGGGAGAGAACAAACCAGCTTCCAGTTGAAGAGGAAATTAGGGAAAGACGCTGGAGTTGGATAGGACATACATCACACAAATAATCAAACTGCATCACAAGGCCTGTATTAACTTGGAATCCTGAAGGGAAGTGGAAAAGCGGAAGGCCAAAGAACAAATTACGTTGGGAAATAGAATTAGATATGAAAAGGAAGAATAAGAACTGGAAAGAGCTGGAAAGGATTACTCAGGAAAGGATTGAATGGAGAGTGCTGGTGGGCAGCCTATTCTCCTCCACGAGGAGTGATAGGTGTAAGTCAGTAAGTAACTCAAGATGTAAAATTTGATGCTGAATTTTGTTTATACCATTTATTAGTTCGTTGCATGTATTCATGGTTATTGTTATATTCAAAAGTATGAAGAGTGTATTATATATATTTGAATATATGAATATTTTATTTCTAATTGTTTAGTCTTCAGCTGGTATGCTAGTGAAATGTTTTGCAGAATTTTATCGTTATCTTCCGGTGGCCACATTAATTGACGATAAAATTTTTGTCTGTCATGGTGGTATATCAGATGAAACTGATTTGAACACATTAGGAGATTTAAACAGATTCTCAGTAAGTTTTAATGTTTTCATAGCCTATAAATAAACTCTATTGATGACAAACGATGATGTTTAGTGAAATATAGATCCTATTTAACTTCATATATACTATTTGACTTATCACATTAATACAACTTAGAAATAAAAACAGCAATACGAATTGTGTCTACAATATGAATATCTCAGACAATTTTGTGACCAGATTATCTGAGCGAATGAATATGGCGAATGGTATTTCATCTAAAATCAGTGAATAATAGGTGATTCAATATTTGTAAAAGAATCTATGAAATACAAGTAAATAGATATGCACATACGTACCATTATGTACATATTTATAATGACATTTAAAGACACTCATGATGAATTAACAAAACTATGCGAAAATGTACAAGATAACCAATAAGAATAACATCGACTATCTATGGAGAAGCTAGAATAATTTATCCAGGGCTGTAATTTCTCGTTTAAGATAAGTAAGAAGTTTTAATCGATATGGGGTTTTTTCGTGAATAGTTTGGTGACATTTTTTGCCTGTTTGTTTGCTTAATAACACAGTAACTTTGTTAAATCATAGTATCACTAATCTTCTCAATAGTGGAGCTATGGCTAAATGATTAAAGCTTTTAACTTTCAGTCAATTAATTGTCAGTTCATACTTTTCTACACCGCCTACTTCAGTTTGGGCAAACAAGTAGTATCATTTACTCCACAGTATTTAGTTGGAAGACAGTTACATGAATTTATACCTGGTAAATAAGCTAAATAAGTAATATGAATACTCCATTCATCTATAGTGTTTACAGTTCTATGGTGTCCCAATAGTTGAAATTCCTTTATTCTAATAACATAAAGATATATATATATATATATATATATATATATATATATATATATATATATATATATATATATAAAGCATTACGTATTAACTTTATTACTCTTCCTTGATAAATACCGTCAATTTTTACTAACTTGCTGTATCATACGAGCAAGAAATTGTCTTTATTTTTGAACTTGTATGGTAGAGTTGTTGCATTACACTCCATTGTATACATGACATAATATCTAATTAGATATTAGCTAAAGTTTTATAGGAAAAAGTTAATTAACAACAAAAAAGCAATAAGCGTATTACTTCACTTTACACGATTGTCTACTTTTTCTATAGTTTACATTTACATTTTACAAGTTCTGAATTTGAAAGAAGCATTTAATTAATACAAAGTTACATATGGCTTTTGATTATAACTTTCATTTACTGTGAGATTGGTTCAGGATTCTTATTGATTTATTCATAATCTATAATATAGGTGATACATTAGAAATCTAAAAATGAATGAGTGAGAAGTTGTGACCAATGAAGTTTAACCATATATGTTATGAGGCAGTAACTCACTGAGGATAATGGTGGACGGTCGCTCAATATCGTGGATTGGTGGAAGTTAGACATTAACACTGTTGAATGCCAGCCCAATGGTCTAGAGGTCAAGTGTTCGAGTGCGAGACCGAAGGTCCTGGGTTCGAGTCTCGTGTTCAAGATCGTGGATGCACACTGATGAGGAGTCCCAAAGTACGACGAAACGGCCACTCAGTGCTTCCAGATCTTTCGTGGTGGTCTAACATTGGTCCATTCATGATATCAATCTAAAATGCCAATAGTTTGAATAAAAAGAGAGAAAATTCTCATGATAAATGGATCAGAAGTAACGATTTGTGTGTTAAGAACAAAGAAAAGAAATATTTTCGTCAATGTAAAGGTTTTCCATACACATGACACCAATTGATCGCCGTTGTGATTTTTAACAACCTCTTGTGTTTATAAATAATGTGTGACATGGCATCCGTGATGACGGAATGTCAAAATTATGACCAATTTATAGCAGACTAGGTTTTAAGACAAAAATATACAATGAGTTGTCATCTCCGCTTTATCCTTTAAGCACATGTAACTAAGCCTTGAGACAAATCAGATAGCTTTGCTTAAGAATTAAGACAATCCTTTTTGGGACATCAATAATCAAGTGAAGTCTGTAAATTCCCTTAGCTTTCTGAAGTCAGATATTACAAATGGATCGAAGATGATTCATCATTTCAGTGTTTTAAAACCTATGTTTTGTGGCTAAACTAGCATGATGATGGTGCAAAAACTAGTCCAAACCACCACTACTCTTTCTACCACCTTCCTTGCAAGAATTGATGTTTTCACCTATGTCACAATCAACGATGAAATGGATACACGAAATTCTTGACTAGTCTTGACGACTACCACTAAGAGTGGGTGCAATCATAGTTTCTCTGAGTCTTATAAAAGTATTTTCGACTTGGAAGATAAAAATCATGACGTATTTACAGATTCTGATCGTTAGCTGAATATGGGCGACTTAGGTGATTTATATTACAACAAAAATACAGATGATATCAGCTCTGCACGCAAAGTATGAACATCCTTTTCCAGATTATATGTTCACCATCGCGTCAATAGTGGACATCGAGGACTTTGTCAACAAGTTAATCCTGAAACCTGCCAGAGGTGTGTTGCTTTTCTGATCAATCTTTTCTAATCCCCTACTTTGATTGTGACGAAGCAGCCTCACTGCAGAGATTGGTTGTTTGAGAATATTTCACTATTATCATACATTTGTAGAGTCGGCACTGCGACTTCGCCCACTGATAATGAACTTATGCTTTCAACTGTACCGTTCTCCAAGAAATCTGTCTGCCATGTTACAGCTTAAAGGAACAAGTGTTTCACCCGATATAGCATAAGTGGATCATCATCATATTCAGGTCGTGTAATCACGTTCAAGAATTAGTCACAGTAGATAAAGTCCGAAATCGATCTAACTTACCTCAATAAAGCACCTTGACTGACAATCGAATAAATGGTTTGTACCAAAAAGATTAAAAACTAAAAGGAATGTCATTTATTACTTAATTTCTTTCCGTCTTTCTTTTTTGTTTTATATATTTAAACAAATACAAAAGTACTTTACACTTTTAAAACCAGTGGATGAATTAATCTCAAACAGTGATAGTAAAAAACAGGTAAGGTAAATAAAAATTGGGAAGAAAATTATGATGCATTTTTCCTCTCTAATGATTTTATAAACAAAACTAGTTATCTATTCGAACAGTTAATCACAAATTCATAATTTCTGATAATAATCATCATCAACCTGAAGGTATTTCCTGGAGTTCTAGTGAGAAGCACTGACCAGTGGAGTTCAACCGGGTCAGTTGTGAGATAGTAACTCACTGAAGACAATAGTGGATGCGTCGCTCAATTTCGTGGATTAATTGAAGTTAGACATTAATTCCATTGGATGCCGGCTCAGTGATCTGGTGGTTAAGCGCTCGCACGCGAGACTGACGGGTCCTGGGTTAGAATCTCGCGAGGCGGGATCATGGATGTGCACTGCTGAGGGGTCCCATAATAGGACGAAACGGCCGTTCAGTGGTTCCAGGTTTTCCATGGTGGTCTAGCTTCAATTGACTCATGATTTCAACTAATAAATTCATAATTATTCAACAAGGTTGTGATGAACGAGAACATAGATGACGACAACCAATTGTATTATATCTGTCGGCATAACCAGCATACACCACAAATTTACTAATCCAAAAATTTTAATTTTACAGGAAATTTGCACTATATATACAACTGACTTTCAACTTTTTTCACACAAAATAATTGTGCTTTCTATGGTTCATACTACTATAAAATATCATTTCAAGTATTTAGAAATAATAATGGTGAATTGTGATTTATATCAGTAGTAATTGAGTAGGATGAACGTTATTTGATAAATTGTATTAAGTGGAGTAAGCTATGCATTTTCTGTTTGTTTTTTGATGGAGTTTTGTTTTCTCGTCTGGATGGTTTGGCCGATGATAGCTCCACGACCAAACCATCCAGCCGAGAAAACAAAACTTCATCAAATACACCCACCTAAGCTACAAGTCTTCTCCACTATCTCATTTTCTGTTTGCAATGTTTTTTTAAGAAAAAATGCTAAAGATATCATAGTTACAAAAGTTTCTCTTCAAATTGAACATTACACATGTTAACAATTGAATTTAGATGACTATATCATTAAATACCAGTTAAAAGCTATGCGGTAGTCACGAGATTTCATAGTCTTGAGTAGGGTGGTGGATACTACTGCTGATGAGTTGCACACTAGGACGAAGTAGTTGTCTAATTTATCTTCAGTTTCAATGGTTGTGTATATAACGTCTGTGCGTCATGTTAACCACAAAATGTAATCATCTCTGCTAAATAGCCTAAAATTACTTATAATTGGAATGTTTTTTTTTCATCATTTACCTTGTGATTACAGTATCAAGATTTACTTTGGAGTGATCCACAAACACAATCAGGATTATTAATGAATGAAAGGCGTGGTTTAGGGTGTTCATTTGGTCCTGATATTACAAACTTATTTTTGAATAAACATAATTTAAGCCTACTTATTCGTTCACATGAATGTAAACCTGAAGGATTTGAATGGTCACATAATAAACAATTATTAACTATATTCTCAGCATCAAACTATTATACAGATGGTTCAAATCGTGGCGCCATTGCTAGAATTTCTGCTGATGGTTCTATACAAATAATACAATATGTAACTGGTGGACAGAAGAAATTCAAAACACTAAGACAAAAGTAAGGAGTTATATATATATATATATATATATATATATATATATATATATATATATATAATATATGGTTTTTAAAGTAGTCTACTCTCACCTATAATTAAAAATATTTTCTTACTCCTATATGTACAGTGGATGATTACGGATATTTTGAGCAGAAACATAAGTACCAAAGACATAAATAAGATATGAGAACACTTCAAAACCGATAGTTCATTTACTATTATTATTTTAAGTTGTTCAAAGGTTCAAACAAATTTTAACAAATAGTAAAGTTTTTTTTCGGTCCCTTGTCGAATTTTACTTTCCCACTTTAAAATATATTTAACTCTACATCCAAATTGAATCTACATGATTGATCATTGGATTTGATTGTTTGAACATTGTACGGTATTAGTTATTATGTTTTCTGACATTTATTATTACTAGAATTATAATTCATCTTTACCTCATAATAATCTTCTTTAAAAGTGAAGAAAGTATTCAGAAAGGTTTTATTTTGAATCATCCTACTGATATTTAAAACTGCAATCGATCAGTCTCTTATTCAAACAACCAATGTAAAAATGAATTAAATTTCACCTCATTGCACAAGCTTTTGGCTAGCGAGACTCAGTAGCTAAGTGGATAACGCGATAACGTTTGAATCGAATAGTATGGGGTTCGGATCTCGGAATGAGCATCAACTCTGGGATGTAGGTATATCCAGTTGACGAGTCCCAAATATGTCAAAACACCCTTTATGGATTCCACTGTTAGCTGCTATCCATCTCCGCTTATAACATATTTCCCGTTATCACAAAATAATTGAAGAAAACATTCATAACTTTTGTAACTAACCCATTGTTTTTAGTAATTTTTAATATTATATTTTTCTAAAATTATTGTTTATAAACAAGTGATATCTAAAAATGAATAGTTTCGCCTAAATACATATAAACATAGGGAGTATCTTTGTTTGCTTTTCATTACTTTTTTCAAATAGAGTTAGTTGGGCTGAAGAATCAGCATTAACGGATTTAAAAACAAAATCGTTGCTTATTCAACAGAATTGAAAGGGAATTTCAATCACTTGATCCTACAAATACTGGTAATGTTTATTTCTCATATTAACATATACGCCATTATTATTATTATTATTATTATTATTATTATTATTATTATTATTATTATTATTACGATCGACAAATTAAGGTTCCTATATATGATCCCTAATTGAATAGTAAGTACACATTATTCAGGAGGATCATACTGGTACTGAGTATCTAAGCAATGTTTTTTCCCTTTCAAAGGTTAGATGACTAGTTTCCATCTGTGTGGTAAGCTTTAAAATTCAAACAATTCCACAATTTCACTAAACTAATGACATTTTGAAATATTTGATTGAATAATATAAATTCAAAGATAATTTTCATGCCTAATTAATTTTAACTAATACTACATTCAAAATTGAGGGGATAAAGAACAGTTGTTTAGTTCTAATATAGTACTATCATAACATTTTTAGAGCTTGATCAAGCCTGAATTCTTCAGAACTTTTAACAACCATTATATCTTCAATATAAACTGTGTTGGAATTTAATTGTCCAAAATTTCGATTTCAACCAATTTGTAACAAATTCCTATCAACATTCAATGTAATTTTATATTTTGGTTCTTCATTATTTCATTGATTGATTACGGTAGTCATGATTTTCCTTTAAAACTTCAGAATCCAATTTCAAAGCTCTTCGTTAATAGTCACATGATAATTAATAAAGTTCATAGACTGTTGTAGCCATTTTAAGTAACTTTCATCACTGATAGTTCTTAAGTTAATTTCAATTCGTGATAAGAGCCACTTCCATAATGAACAAACATCTCCAGAAATAAAGCATATTTTGTGATGAACGAAAATACTATTGGTTAAATGTCAAAAACATACTTTCAATCCTGCATTTGCAAAATGTCCTTTACTGTTCCTTTATTTCCATGCAAATTACTCTCTGTTTCCATTCTCTTCTATTCGATCTTCTCAACCTTCTTTTGTCAGGCATTCCATTTCTGATTGACGTTATATATTACTTATGTCGACATAAGTAGCACGCACACAATATCCCAAACTAATAATAAGTTAATCTTGTAAATTTTAAGGAATCCATTATTTTAAAGTAGATGAAAGAAATCAGTGTCTAATTTATATAAAAAAAAATCCAGCGTCATCTTGAATCATATGTTATGCTTGATTGTTTCATCAAAATTTATTGCATCATAAACAATTACCAAAGGGACTACTGAAAAATAAAACAAGTAGTTAAACAATGTTTTAATGAATCTTTATTTTATTTGAACGTTAATCTCTCGATGATAACGTACACTTTATTGATGAAACAATGTTTTGAAATGTTGTTGATGAATTCGGCCACAAAACAGTTACATATCTAACTGGCTGTATTAACACTAATTCAGTTCGTACAATCTTCAGATCACTCATCATCAAGAGTGCTAGATTAATATTCTTTTACTGTTCCACCATACATACTTCATAAATATGTTGGGCAAAAAGAAAAAAACTTATTAAGATCTTGACATCAGTTCATGATGATTGATCTACAACGCAGCTATAACTAATCCATACACAAATCAAAAAAAACAAACGAAATTTCTGTATTATAATCAGAATGTCACATCTTATGATACTGAATGAACTGTTTACAATGAAAATGTTTTATTAATGTTACTGTTACGTCCTTGATCTGTCTACCAACTTTTGTGAAGGATAACTTGTCTAATCTAGATTAAGATCTTGATACGTTAAGCTGACTGGCTTAACCTTGAGGCTAGTATGCATGAGTTCGAACTGACACCAACTGTTTAGTGTAAAGAGACGAATACTATTCTACCACCTGATTGGCTGACAAGCACGCAAGAAAGAGAAGACAAGTCAACTGGAACACTATGCGATCTATTCCCGATTTCAGACTAGTTTAAAAGGATACATGAATAAATAGACGACTAACCAGACCACAACGCACATGATCTCAACTATTAAAATTAAACTGTATTAAAATAGATTTGTAGAATTTTTATCACACAATAACTAATAGAATTTTATTTCAATAAAAGAAAACAAATTTTCTTTTATATTATTTGTGTTTATTAAATTTTAGGCAGAATTTCTAAATTAGAATGGTGTAAAGCAATGGAAAAAGTGTTGGATTTAAAGTTACCATGGAGTACACTTCAACCACGTTTAGTTGTTACATCTAAAATACCAAATCAAGTAGAATATTTAACAACATTTCAAAAACTTACTACTTATAATACCCCATCAAAGGTAACATTATAGATAAATAATTTTTAACATTATGTTACTAACTTACTTATGTCTGTTACCCCTCGTGGAAGAGCATAGGCCCCCCCACCAGCATTCTCAGTCGAACGCTGTCCTGAACATTCTCTTCCAGTTGTTTCCGGTTACTATTCAGTCTTTTGATATATGCTTCCAATTCCCGGAGAAGTATGTTTTTTTATCCTTCTCATTTTTGTTTCCCTTCAAGATTCCAAGCTAGAATTTGCTTCATGATGCCGTTTGATGATTTACCCAGTATATGTCTTATCCACTTCCAATGTCTTTTCCTAATTCCTTCTCTAGATGGGAGCTGGTTTGTTCTCTCCCACAGTAGGCTGTTACTGATGGTATCTGGTCAACAGACAGTATATTGAGTAGACAACTGCTTATAATTACTTGTACATTTTTGATGATGATTTTAGTAGTTCTCCAAGTTTCAGCTACGTACAGTAGAACTGTCTTTACGTTCGTATTGAAGATTTTGACTTTGATGTTCTTTGACAGTTGCTTGAGTTCCATATGATTTTCAATTGTAAAAATGTTTCCCTTGCTTTACCAATCCTTGCCTTTACGTCTGCATTTGACCCTCCTTGTTTATCGATGATGCTGCCTAGGTAGGTGAAAGTTTCCGCACTGAGACCGACTGCTGTAATGGCTGTTGCTACACTAGCTGTATTCACTTGCGTTTGTTGATGAATTTTAGAATACCTTGTCTTCATCTATATTTCTGTTCAAATGCCTGAAATGTTATTACCTTGAAACCATTTATTTTCTATATTCAGTAATTCTTAACAGGCAATTAAACTCAAAACTGTGCTGATGATGTCGTCCAGAATAACAATGAAAGCTCTACAACCAAACCATTTATCTCAGAGAATAAAACTCCATCAAAATCATCCAACTGAGCTACAAATCTTCTCCACCATGTCATTCTTTGTACACACTAGGGTATCTAACCGGCTGCTATTTTGAAACAGGGAAATAATCAAGTATATCTCATTAGGACTGCCTATAAGCCGAAAACATATCTAATAATCTTCACTTATCAATGTTTTATTTAACTTTATAATTTCTATGTTTTGATAAGAATGGATTCTGGATTGAATAGCTTTCTAGTTCTTGAAATTTTATATTTTTAACACATAGTATAAAGCGTTTATTTCCATTGAACTCATGGTAACTATGAAATTAGTGTGAACTCTGTTAATGAGATTATTATATATAAATATATTTGTAAGTCTTAATCGTCACAGATTGATCTCAGTTGGGATAGAATCAAATACCAGTAAGCATCTGATGGCTATTTGATACGAGCATAAGACTTCTCAGTTGTGCACAACTACGGTCAACCAGGGGACCTTCAAGTCCCATGATGAACGGTTAAGCATTGGAAGCATTCTGTTACAATAAAGACCTTAACCAATCAACTAAATGATACGACAATCATTCTATGCCATAAGAAACATCTGTTTTACCCTCAACTTGTCTGAAATACACCAGCTACAACTTCTTACTGAGCTTCAGAAACATCCTGCAATATGTCACTGGTGAGCTTGCTAATATATCTTAGTCATAAGAATTTTGTAGAGGTTGACTCGGTTTATAGTTTGCATCTGTCTTAGATTGGTCGCTGCCAACACTCTAATTTCATAGTAACTTTAAAGATAAAAGGTAGTTGCCATTACATTCTTGCAGTCGATCTTCATGGTAATGATATATACCCGTAATAAACTATCTGTAAGTTTTTTTGTTTTCCTGTTGTTGATGTTAAAGACTGTGATTGATTAGTCTCTATTGGCATATATACATCTTCGATATTGCCATTTAATTACCAATTTTTTCTAACCTTGATGCATCTGAATGATGGATCGTTAATAGAAAAAAAAACCCTGCATTCTGAACTCTACTGTTAACTCGTACTCAACTCAAATAGAAACTTGCGGTAAACAAGGTTTGATGTTCAACCATCGAACAGGAAGAATAAAGAACATCTGACATTGAGTCACTTAGATTAGTAGCCATATTAAAACCTAATCAATAGAATTCGGTCAACACATAGAGAATTAAACAAACATGAGATTAGTTACTGCTCAATGATCAGTGAATGTAGTTATCTCCTTTGTAAGTGTATTTATTGAGTCAATTTATCTCAGGAAAAGTAACTTGGAATTCAATATGAAGTAAATAATCTGTTGCATTGTAGCCCTTTTTATGATTTTAGATATTATAATTAATTTCACTCAGATGATCTGGCCCTTCTATCCCAAACACAACAACAAATGCAGGAGAAGACGAACAGTGTGGCAGAAGCCTCAGCAGCAGTAGATCTCAATATACACTAAGGGAAAAGCAGGATTCTCCGATACAACACAGAAGGCACCAATCCAATCACAATTGACGGAGAAGATTTGGAAGATGTAAAAACCTTTACATATTTGAGCAGCATCATTGATGTACAGGGTGGATCTGATGCAGATGTGAAGGCGCGGATCGGCAAAGCAAGAGCAGCATATTTACAACTGAGGAACATCTGGAACTCAAAGCAACTGTCAACCAACACCAAGGTCAGGATTCTCAATACAAATTTCAAGACAGTTCTACCGTATGGGGAGGGGGGAAACCTGTAGAACTACGAAAGCCATCATCCAGAAAATACAGGTGTTTATTAACAGTTGTCTACGCAAAATACTTCAGATCCTTAGGCCGGACACTATTAGCAACCATCAACTGTGGGAAAGAACAAACCAGATCCCAGCGGAGGAAGAAATCAGGGAGAAGCACTGGAAGTGGATAGGACACACGTTGAGGAAAGCACCGAACTGCGTCACAAGACAAGCCCTCACATGGAATTATCAAGGCCAAAGGAAAGAGGAAGACCAAAGAACACATTACGCCGGGAAATGGAAATAGACATGAGAAAAATGAACAAGAATTGGAAGGAACTATAAAAGAAGGCCAGGACAGAGTGGGTTGGAGAATGCTGGCCAGCGGCCTATGCTCCATTAGGAGTAACGGGCGTAAGTAAGTAAGTAAGTAATTTCACTATTCATTTATCATTCTAACTTCCATACTCAGTTATCTTTCGACACATATAAACTTTAAATTGTCTTCTAGTTGGTAAACAATTTTTAATGTGTGCATAAGTTTTGAAATTTTTTGTTTAATCAATCTTATTAAAAAAAACTGTTTATTTACAAATGAAACAAGGTGCCACCTTCAGTCACTGAAGAAATGTATAAATTTCGTGATGTACTTGAAGGAATATTTAGAGCAATGGATAAAGATAATTCAGGTAAGTTAACTTCATAAGATATACTACATTTTGAAATATGTATACATCCGATAATAAATAAATCAACAAATCTACAGTGAACAAACTATGCTTCAATGACATCTATGATCGATCAGTAGTAACTCATAAATATCCTTGATTCTTAATGTCCGTACTTCATATATATAAATCAGAAAACTTATCTTTTGATTTATAAATGGATAACTCCCCTGCATCACAGATGACGCAAGTTGGTAGAGCCAACCGAGCCGAGTTTCCATCAGACACCAACCCACCAAGCTTGTTAAGATCTTTAGATGGTATTGGATTCATCTTCTGTCTTTATTATGTCTACTGGGCCTGATTAAATGTGTCCAAGATATTATATTAATTCGTGAGCAATATTGACTTTGAGATATTTCATGATTCTTATCGGAACTTCAGAAAATCGATATTAGGTAGGATGGTCAGTTGATCGTAAAAATTATCTGACTCAGCATTCCTGGAATAATTTTAAGGTGCTTATTTCTATTTGAAGTAGAATTTGATGTTGTTCATGAACAATATGAAGATATCTGCAACTGAATCATTCAGTTTAGTGAACTCAAAATTGACAAAAATGCTTATTTGCTTTAATTTATTACTGAATGGGTTAAACACTTATTAACATAATTCCTGTTTGATCTAAGACATATACTAAATCAGAACTGACATGAACACTCGATAAAAATGGTCATAAAGTAATAAATTCTGGTCCATCTTAATTCATCCGTAGAAAAATCCAATGTAAAACTTACATTTTTCGTAAATCCTTAATAAGACAAGACCCTGGACGGTAAAATTGAAAGCTCTCTTCATATACTCTCCAATTCACAAGTGATAAGACAATCAAAACTACACGTTTTTATCAGTCAGTACTTTACGATAACATACTTTTAACTCATTATCTTTAACAGTAAAGGGTTGTGGAAACTATTAAATTTTACTGAGATCACGAACAGACATAAGTAAGAGTACCAATGAAAGCCTGGAGGCACTAAATAATCGTTTGTTTCTAGCATGAAAATGTGGCAGAGCTCAGCTACAACCCCGCAACCGGGATTCCAACCCAACATCTTTTATCTTGCACACGAACTCTCAATCTCTAGATCAATGAGCCAGAATCCAATATTGTACAAGCCTAACTTTCATCAGTTCACCATATTGAGCGACTATCTATCACTACCTTCATTGGGTAACTTCCTCATATTCGACAAAGCTAACTGCAAGTTGATTTGAACTTAATTGTGTGAGTTCGATTCATGAAGACCCAGTACCGAAGAGTTCCATTCATTACTTTTAGATTTTCTGTGATTATCTAACTCAGATCAATTCATGATCTCAACTTAGTTAATTAATTGAATTGATGCTTTATTTTCTAATACACAAATATATATAGGTCGAATCTCATTAAATGAATTTAAACAAGCTTGTTTACGTTTACCTAAATGGACAAAAATCGATGAACAAATAGTAATGGATATGGCACGTTCAATTGATATTAATAAAGATGGTTTAATTGATTTCAATGAATTTCTAGAAACATTTAGATTAGTTGAATCCGATCATGATCATTATGAATCAATAACTGATCAACAAATAGATGAATGAAATCACTGAATTTTTTTTTATTTTTTAAAAAGAAGAAAAATAAAAACTTTTCTTTATTAAACTATTGAATTAGATTGATGTAACCATTTCTGTTTATTATTTTTGATCCTAACTAAAATAAACAGAGTGTATTTCTGTTTCCGTGGATTCTTATCCTTCAATTAATTCCATTTTTTTTTCAGAAAATATGTTATTCCTTACTTTAAAAATTATATATAAAAGGTGGAATACTCTATTTTAGAAAGTCAATATTAATCTGTATATGAATTCATTTATTATTTTATGAAACTTGCTAATGATTCAATTAGAAATTATGACAAATCATCAATTGTTTGAATTCATTATTCATTTGTTTATGATTACATGATTTGCATAATTTAAAATAAACAAGAGTTTTTAACACTTTAAAATGTATTATTCAACGCTTAGCGTTTTTGTGTGTATACAGTTAACCACACCCAGTTGGTAACAAAAAAGAAATATTCACTGCAACCTCGCCTACCTTTCTTCTTCTTCTACTACTTCTTCTTCGTCTTCTTCTTCTCACGAATTTTTTTTTCATTGTGTTCTGTCTTTTTTAAGTGTACTTTTTTATATAATCAAGTTTATGTTATGGATAGTGGATCGATCTGGTCGATTGATTTTAAATACCATTATTTTGTAAATAAAATTGTCTCTGAATCTCTTCTCTTTTTTTAATCGTTTTAAAATGTTCTCTTTGGAGAAAATGGATTATTTCACACTATTGAACTGATTAACTGTTAGAAAGCCTTATAGATTATCATTATCATATGCCTTAGTGAATACTTGGAAGACTTCACTTTATTTGTGCTTTTAAATCATTATGAAACGAAAACATAGTGTGTAGTCTTTATACGTCTTTGCATTTTTCTTACTATTAGGTAACTAAGTGTAATTAATAAGAGGCTCTAGATTTGTGTTCTGAGTTACTTGACGCTCAATCATAAATCTTGAGTAAATTCTCTAACGAAATGATTATCCACTTGTAACTACCTGATAGATCGGTATGATAATGGTGAATGGTATGCACTGACAATGTACTTATTAACAACGAATATATTCGCTACTCTCAGTACCTTATATTTCACTGAGTCACAAGAATATTTTAAAAAAACATGCCCTTTAAATGTGAAAAATTATTATTCAGAAATAATACAACTACTCATATACATTTACGATGGACTTAATATTTTGTGTGATGGTTTGAGCTTTTCCGTTGACAGTATTAAGGACTTTGTTTGAACGGTCTCAAATGACATATGCTTGTCCCGATCAAATGCATTACATAATATTAATAGAGCGAAAACTGAAACCTTTACATATAACTTTATACCGGCCGCATAAACGAATTATTTTCTAAACTCTGCAGCTAAGTGAGTAATCTATCGACATTCAAAGTACTGATTTTGATTGTCAGAGTGAATATTAAGGATGGAATGTAATTAAATATGATAAAAATATCTTCCTCGATTCTATCACTTACCACAATCCAAATTTGCTATAACCTAAAGTTACTATGAGAAGATGACTGAATAATTTATTTTAGTTCAACAACCGAATATATTATTCAATACATAGTATGAACCAGAAATTAGGGTGGAAAGGTACCTATTTCAATTACCAATAGTTTAGAATGCAAATTCATAATTAAGGTACTTTTAATAGAGTAATGCTGATATATTGTTGTTAGGTAAACTGAGATAGTCAGCTTTCTTTTCACCTAAACATATAAATATAAAACAAATCCAATCCAAAATGAAATTATGTTATTTCTCTTCAGGCATCTGAACAGTGAATGTGGGCTTTTGTTCCACTAAATGACTGGTCACAGTTATCTTTTTTCTTAACCACATGTACACTCATAAGAACCCATTCATATTGTCTGTGAAATTTGGAAGATAGATAGATACTTCTTTCCAGATATGAACAGCTAATTGTTTTCGAAGGTATTCCACTTGATTTTATATTAAGTGAGTGTACTTAAAACAAAGTAACATGAATCTAAGTTAAGTTGGTTAATAGCTACCAGTAGAATGTAGGACGTTTGTTTCGTCCCATTTAGGACTGGTTAGCTGGTGTGCCTGCATCACACTGTTAATGTTCACACAGATATTCAACCCCAGTACCTTTCGCTTCAAGCTCAACCTGTTATCCCTGTATCTCCAGTGACTTGAAAATTATTCTTCTTTGTTAAATATTTGGTTATAATAAAATGTTAGAAAATATGAATGTTATAATTTCATGCCAGCTACTGCATCTTCGCATGTTCAAAAACCTCTTAAATCATCTCATTTGAAGTCCGGTTTCGAATGATATCTGTTTGTTAAATCTTCTCATATCCATAGATTAATGCACAAAGACTTTATTTCTATATCAACACGGACATTATATAATGGCTAAACTACATAAATAATACAAAAAATAATGTATTTACAGTGAATCATCTTTGTACTCTTTTTATTCGCATGACTGTCTGTGTCTGCAGAGAAAAGTTGTATAAAAGATAAGTCCCAGTTGTCCTAATATTCCAAATAACCATTATTCAGAAACTGACAAAGTATTTTCTTCAAAATACTATTTTGTCATTTTCTAGGACATTTTTAAGCAATTGTAAATGTTTGCAATCTGTCTAATCAATTGCCAAATTTAAGATGATAGATTAGTTGGTTTATGAGGATTAGTCCAACTTCAAAATAATTTTTGCATCACAGACTATAGTCAGCTGGAGAACTACTGAAAATTAGGAAGCATTTGACAGCTTCAGTCTAATTGATTATTTTTTTTAGTAACAGAACGAATATTACTGATGGCACTAGGTTGTGGTCGCGTATTACCATGAACTAATTAAATTTTGACCAGCGTATTCTGTGACTCACTCTTTATAAAATCTTGAGGTTCTGAGTTCAGCTCCATGTGGTATTGAAGAAGGAGTCAAAATTATGACGAGCCGAGTGTTTATTCATCACTTATTTTCAAATATTTACCACCTAACGCTCGTCAGTGACAAGAAAAAAAATTGGTTATACTCAATACAAGAAGGTTACGTTTCAATCTTCTTGTACGTTTTGATTAAATAACCTTCAACAAGTTATTCTGTCAGCGGTGCAGGATACACAGAAGCCCGGACAAAGTGTTTCCGAAATAGTTGATTTGACACAATAGATCCAAATGATGCGAACAATAAACATAGTAGCAAGCGAATTAACGAGTATTGTTTAACACGTAAACATCCATGTGTAAGAGAAACAATAAAAATTTCTAGCAATCAGGCTAAAGTGGATAAGAGAGATAAAAGTATAAACTGACTTCCGTAAATTTGGTTATACAAACTTATTCCTATATACTGTTTAACTGCACCCATTTTGTCAGTAAGCCGTAAATTTGATAACTGAGTTGTCCATTTCATAAAATGCTCACTGGAACGTCATAAATCCGCATCAATTTAACGGGGAGTGAAATGAGAAGGCAATAGCTTGTAGAATGATTGATTCACTATCTTTCACCTACTTTGTGATAATTCTAGATAATGATTTTAGTATCAACCATTTTACACAAATCATCATGAATTTTCCAATCTAAACGATTTTCCACATAATTACGAAGTGTGAATTAATCCAAATAAAATACGCATTCTGTCTTGACTACTTGTGAGTAGTCTAAACCGGTAGGAATGTTTTTTAATCACTGAAAAATTTGCACCATACTACAACACAGATATATAATCGAAGAATATTCTTTTCAACAAACTCCCTTCAGGTTCTACAATTATGTGTCTAACTTAATAATCCGAAATACGGTTAGGTTTAAAGCGAAATACAACGTTTAAAGTGATAGCATATGAATTCAGATTTGTTTGTAATATAAATGACTAATTTGAAGTGTTGACTTGAATAAGTTTATACGTTAAACGAAATAGAGAGGATTATAATCAGAATAAATACGGTTAACATGGGTTATGAGAGATAATATTGTAATAACAAATTAGAAATTATGTAATATTTAGAATATTATGAATTATGTACGAATTAGTAAATAGGGTTGGATGTTGGGTAAATTTCTTAAAACGTTTACAAGTATTATAATAGTAATGATAACAATAACGATAACAATATGTGTGAATAAGTTTAGTCTACGAAAATGCGGTGAGGAAGGTTGTATGAACATTCATCAAATTATATCACCATTTCATCAAAATGATTGACTAATTAGGCTAGAAGTTGGCCAAGATAATAGGAGTGGTTGAACTTACTTCTAGACACAAAGCTCAAAAGTTTTGATCCAAATAGTTATTGCTTCAGCCATCTGAAAGATTAGAAATCTGAAGGATTTAGGCAGATCACTGTTCACACAATATGTTATTGTACATTATTGCGCCATGTTGGCTGTATGGACAGTTTGTATTAAATAAGCTAAAACCCAGCTGTTAATATTTTTAATTATACCTTTGCTTAACCACACTGTGAGGTGCTAACAGGCACAAAAATACAGATTCCTAGAACACCTTCCATATAACTTGCTACGCAAGAGCAGTTGGATTGATAGATACAGAAAGAGGTGGCTAGTCTAATTAATTTATCTATGAATCTTGTAGTGACCATCGAACGTAGGGAAAACATTAATTATAGTTTACATGCATTGAATGTGCCTTGAATTACTTTAGTATTAACATTCCGAGGGGTGCTTCGTCTCTAGATTGTAGGCATATATACAGAGGGTTTATGCTACCAGTTATATCATCCTAACGCTCTCTTATCATGGCTGAATGTTTATTCATAAGCTTTTTCGGATATCCATTTTCTTTCAGATCAGTACACAATAACATTTTTCTTCTTTAACCGCATCTAGGAACCATACGGTCTTAATTCTATAATGAAAAGTCTTAATCAAGTTCCTTTTTACTGTTAAGGAACAAAATTAAAAAATTTTTGTATATTGACCAGTCCAATTAGTTTTCTCTTCTCAGTGACTAATCTATCCTC